ATATATATATATATTGCACAGCTTTTGAGTTTCTGGATCTGCACATCTACAGATGTGGAAGAAATGCACAAAAGATATTGAGAATGAGTCAAGCAAGAATAAATATGTTGCTTGACTTTAGACAATATTGGTTTTGCCTGCATTTCAGCTTTAAAACTTTACATCACAGGAACTAAAAAAAAAGTCCTTTTAATACACTCATCACTAATTATACACTTGAATATATGAGATATGGAGGAGCAAAATTGCATTAATGAAAAGTAATATAATGATTGCCTACTATGGCCTGCGTTTGGTATTTGAGCCATGTTACTCAATAATTACCTTCTTAGGTAAACAGCAATTTATAAACATATAGCATGTCATTTACTCAGTGTGTGTACAGCAGTCATAGCCATTCAGTAACTCCATAAGGACAATTTTCTCAATTACAAACTGTCAGCACAGTTTTTTCAAACACGCAGATTCCGAAAAGCCATCATTTACACACGATCCAATTGCTGAGAGATTGGCTCTTATGTTTACCAGAGACAGCTGTTCTTCAAAGTCTTCATCATCCTCGTCCAGACACGGAGGTTGAAATATCTCCTCAGGGGACATCGGGCTCAGTGAGGGAAAAGCAGCCCTGAAAACACACAAAGCACATAAACATAACTCAGTTCTGGGGTACACCAGCAGAGCACTTAATATCATGTACTGATGGAAGGGGCACCATTACAGAACTCACAGTCCTGACAGTGTATCCTGCTGGAGGTATGGTAAGGCTTTGGCATTGGATAATATCTCCTCAGGTAAAGATGAGGCTTCCATTCTTTGAAACATTGGTGCATTTTTCTATGATGAAATAGAATATAACAATAGTAGTAGTTAAATTTAACATTGGCAAAAAAACACAACACTATTAATGGTAGGGGTTGATCCGCTCAGATTCTGTCCCAATAATCTCTTTTGTTACTGAAAAAGCAAATCTACAAGACGTTGGAAACTGAACAGGCTCTTTCACATGACTCAGCTTAAGCCCCAGAACCTCCATGCTTTCAACACACACACCATTCAGCTTACTAAAGTATGTGGTTTCTGCATTCTGGATGAAAGTATAAATACCTTTTAATGAGTATTAATCATATGGAGCAGTATATTCAGCCTGTAGGCACACAGCTAATAATGCAGAAGCAAAGCATGATGGACCTACTTTGAAGAAACTAAAAACTCATGAAAACTGTTGCAACTGTGCAAGGCAAAGGATAATTATTGTAAGGGGCACTTAGACTCCATATTTAGGTTGCACTGTATGAACGAATGCTCAAAGTGCACAATGTAGACCCCAGATCTGAGTGATCAGCCATAACCAGCTACCCACAGCACATAATGATTGTCAGCCCTGTCCTGGTAGTAGGGTTGCCACCTTTTCTTCAAGTGAAATCCGAACACAAGCGCTGCATGCAGCATTTTTCAGGTGGCTATGCGGGCTCTCAGGGGGGCTATGCGGGCTCTCAGGGGGGCTATGCGGGCTCTCAGGGGTGCTGTGCGGGCTGTGTGCTGTCTCACCAGGGGTCCAGAGGCGGGCAATATGGTGTCAGGAAGACAGAGATGTTTACAGGCACCTGCGGCTCACAGGAAGGCTGCCGAGGTACCCAGCAAGCACGGGACCTCAGGCAGCTGCATCTGGCCAGCACTTAGTGTCTTTTGTCCTGGTGTCAGCTGGCCTGAAACCTGGACACAGGACTCAAAAACTGGACTGTCCGGGTGAATCCCGGACAGGTGGCAACCCTATGCAGAACTGACTCTGGAACTTTGCTAATAGAGCCTCTCGCCAGGATGCTGTGTGAGAGGAAGGAGGAGGGGTATGAACTGCAGGGATTGAGCATGCTCAGTCTGACTGGGGGATCTGGAGGAGACAGGCCTGTGTGTGAGGCACTGGGTGAATTAGGACTGCATGCAGCCGAGCTGTGGGATTCCCACTGACAGATTGGGACACACAGACTCTGTATAGCGGCATTCTAAAGGACTGCTGTTCATCTGCTCAATTGGAGAGACTGTGTTCGAGGCTGGTAGTAATATGACCTGATAATTGCAAAGTTTAAGTTCAAAAGAGTGTTCTTAGTATACATTTAATGACTCGTCTAAATCATGTTATGCCGAGGCAAACACAAACTGAACCATGTGTACTGTTTTAAAATACCTACTTTAAGTGCAAGATCCAGCAATATGCCCAGAGTTCAGTAAACAATACGATATATTGGCACAGTAGTGATAGATATGACAAATAGTTATATTTAATAAGGCACCAATTCCCATACATCCTTCATGGCTCTGATGTCAATACAGTATGATCGTCTGCCATGACTTACATCAGTATGAATCCTAATTCATCTGTAAATCTCTTTACTGCACAGACTGGAAAGTCTCATGGTCTGCAATGTTTGGTTCCATACGGACAGAGGGATTGCTACACAATGATTAAATCTCACCTGTTCTTCCAGCTGCTGCCTCTGCTTTTTTGCTTTACTCTGCTTATAATAGTCCATGATCATCATAGCAGCATAAATCTTGCCCACGGTCAAATCAGAGGCTAGGAGAGAATGCAAATGCTGGTTTAGAATAATCACTTGACAGATGTGCAATAATAATTACCTGTAATAGTATTTTAGGTAAACTTACATTCTACATAATGGTTTGTATACCTATGTTGTAAGGATGCTTTGTGAAAATGGAGAAGTAGTGAACTAAAGGCTGCAAAATGGAAAGATGCGTACACACATTTAAAGCATGTATAACCACCACTCCCCATCCTTTGAATCTCGACAGCACAAGCTACTGTCCTGAACACATCACCCCCTCTGCTGACCATCTCTCCCCAGCTATGCTTCTGCTGCCCCTGGCTCCTCATGGCCTCCACTAACTGAAGCTGCATGCAGATCACAGAACTACCCCTTACTTCATAAACTACTATTGGTGGAGATAAAGGACTGCTGTAGCCATCTCCTCCTTACTGTCCTCCAATTCCTGACTATGCTGTATAACCTGTCAGGGCTTGGAGAGCAGCCTGAAACTTTTAGGCAGTTTGTCATTCCTCAAGCAGCAGTGGCCGGAAGAAGAGCTGCCATGAAATCTGGTTAGTGCACACTCCCTACACACTATCACCCAACAATCCCTCAGCAATGACAGCCAGCTCTTCCCCACTGTCATCTAACTCTCCATGCTACAACATCAGCCACACACCTCACCACCCAGCACACACTGCTCCTGTACCCCACACTTCTCTTACCATCCCACATGCATGTACCATATTACCCCCACCCACGGCTCCTGCAACCCTACCTTCTCTGGAACCCACCATTCCTACATGACCCATTCTCTCACCAATCACCATCCCTGAAACCCCCTTCACTTAGTACTCAGTGCACAAACCACCATAAACCACCTGCACATCCCTTTTCTCAGCACCCCACACCTGCACTCCCCCTTCTTTTTCCATTTACAAGACTGCACTTCCCCCTTCTTTTACCAAACAATGCACCTGCATCCCTCTTTTATCACCACCAAGAGCACCTGCACTCCCTATTCTCTCACCACCCACATATCTATATTTCCATCAGATAAGGTTTCCCAATCCAACAACCAATACATCATTTAACAGAATTTAATAACAGTTGGTTAGCAACCAAGTATGACATAGATATAATGCATATTTGTGGTCCAATGTGTTTTATTAGCCACCTGGACCTTGTAGCATAGGCGTATTTGGAGTCTAATTTGTTGGTATCTTCTCAAACATTAGTGTAACCATTTTTTATGAAGGTAAATCCATCTCAGCAATTATGGAATTGTGGATTATGTATAAAGTAGTTTTAAGAAAAGAAGACTCAGGATGTGTATTGTTGAGCTGTTCTGCCAGACTATTTATGACAGGCCTAACCAGGAGTCTTTTGCAGACCATGCTAGTGGAGGTTTGATGACACCTCTGCATTCTATTTAGCCAGCCTGTGTTCTGTTACATAGGTGTTTTAAGCAGGATTGGAGATTTGTCAAATGTGTCCCCTTCACTGGCAGCCCTACACAAACATGAGATTTAAAACTGACCCTCTTTGTCACCAATTTGTGAATTGTGGAGAAAGAAGGATGGCACTGTATTCAGTAGGTGCTAAGAGATGGGGGTTGCAAGTTTTATAGGTGAAGAGAGAAGGGGGACGCAGTCGAAGAAATGATGAGAGAAGGGGACTGCAGGTGAAGGAAGGGGTGAGAGAAGGGGCACATGAAATTCCCCTGGCAGGTGACTTAAGAAACACTAAGACCAAGGTCCAAGTGATACAGATTTTTTTTTCTGACCGAACATGCTTATAGTTATAGCAAACACCTGTTGGCCTTGTGTTACCTGCCAGTGGGATTTCAAACAGTAGGTATTCACCACTGGGCTCCACTACAATTTTTGTCTGCAATACATGAACCTTTTAAGAGGTTGGCAGTGGATATCATTGGACCACTAACCATCCCCAGCAGTTCAGGCAAACAATACATCTTAACAAAAGTGAACTATGCCACCTTGTTGTGGCACTATCATCCCTCAGGGCAGACAAGTTCACTGACGTTCTGTTGGGAATCTCTATAAGGGTAGAGTTCCCTGCACAATTCCTTAGTGAACAGAGCCCACAGGCTGATGAAAATACAGATGACACATGAACAGTCTGTGCAAGCATTTCAATGGGACTTTGAAACAAATGCTATAGACATTTGTGAGATCGCAGGAAAGGGACTGGGAATAACATTTACCTCTTATACATACTTAATTTGAGAGACCCAGAATAGCAAGATTACTTGCCCAGAGGTCCCTGTGGTAGAATATGTACTAAGACTCCGGGACAAAATGGGATGGTACAGGAGAGTTTAAAAAGATGCAGACCAAGCAAAAACACTGTAATGCCAGAGAGCAGATGTACAACTAGGATAAGAAGGTGTATAATCCCTATACAGCAGAACAAACTAGAAGCAGCAGAGGAGGCTCCATATCCAATCACAAAGCACCTGGATGATGTCAGTAATGTGATAAATTTGGAAGAAGGAGGCAGAAGCACGAAAGTTTTCCATGTAAACATAATAAGGACACACCATGAAAGAACAACATATATAATGCCAGTTTACAGCTGGACTGAACAGGAAGAAAAAGACCCACTGTTAGACTTGTTACCTGACATTTGGGAATTGGGATCAGACCTCAAAATTTATTCAACTCAACCGCTGGAAGTGCTCGTGGGACACTCTGACTAATTCACATGGAAACCAGGAAGGTTGCACCTTGCAGTCCACAAGATAGCCACAGGGGCTCATCCTCCCACCAAACAGCCTACCACGTCTCACTGAAGGTGCAGGAAGACATGAAGATGGAGATTGAGGTGCTGCAGTTAGTGGTCATTCACAACTCCCACGTCACAAGTAGTTCTGGTCCCCAAAAGGATTAGACAACCAGATTCTGATTCTTCCATGCAGAGTTTTCTATTTTAGGATCGGAAGTAGACAATATTAAAGTAGGGCCCTGCCATTTCTTTGGGCTGTTCCATCTAATGTCTGTTGCTTTTTTTTATCGCAAACTGTTACCCTGTTTCTTATATAAACTTGAGTTATACATACAATTAGCTTCTTTTATGAACTGCTACTTCTTTGAATTGCTACAAAAGGGACATTCTGGTGAGAACAGCAAACTTATCGGGTTTTATGCTTCTTAAGTGATTTTTCACACATCTCGCTGTCAGTCTGACACAGCACACAAACAAGAGAAGGTGCAGAGAGCCTCAGCTAATTTCACGCTGAATTAAAACACGCAGTGTATCAAATTACAGTGCATAGATTTAGACATAGCTGCTGGAGCGCATAAGTCTTAGAAGTCTATGATTAGTGGAGCTAAAGAAGCTTTTACTGTAATGGAAAGATTTTCCAGCACCTTCCATGATAGGAATGTTTAAAACGTATATACATTTATTTATATAGGACTCTAGAGAGACCACTACACCACCCATTTTATTTACTGCCCCTTAGGATAAATGAACACACCACCATTCCAGGCCACCATGGAATAGGCAAAGTAGCAGTGACTACCCGCTCTCACCACCAAACACTATAAGAAAACAAAGTAGAGTCACACCAGAAGAGGACCGAAAACTTTTGGCTTGGGAGACAAACACAACCAACTGGTCATTTCATAGGTCCGTTCACATACCTGATAGCTAAAGAAAATGTTGCAGCTCCGCAGTGACTGGTGGCCATGGTGAATGGTGGGTGTTGTGTTAAAGCGACTCTGTTATGGAGTTATTGCCGGGACTACCACAAAATTCAATCCCATAAGTATCTCCCTTAAGGTATTACATTTTTTGTGAAACCTCTGCTATACCTCGAAACTTGGGAAGGGTTATTCTTAATTCCACTTTTTGCACCAGTACCACGTCAATAAGGCCACATTCACACAGACCTGCTGAAACCATACAGCGTACAAATGCAGAAACCTTTGCCTACGAGGGCCAGCTGGTGCGTGCAGCTGACTGTACTACTTAAGGACAGGATAGCAGATTGTCTGTGTCTAGGGGTGCATCCATACCTGTATGGATGTATAAACTCAGATCAGTGTTTAACAGCATGAATTTGCATGCTGTCATTGAGTTCTATAGGCAGCTGCACCCAACAGCTCAGTCCATATCCCATCGCACTCCTGACCGTAAAATGCCCAAACTGATTAGAAGTGGGTGCTGCAGTGAATACGGATGGTTCCACAAGCAGATCAGTAAAAAGTGAAGAGATCACTGGCACCCCAAGATTCAAAAAGTGACTTTGTTTGCCTGAGGAAGGAACCAGGTTGGGTTCTGAAATGTTGCTATACACTGTGAGAGCTTTTAAGATGTCAACAAAGGAGGTTTGACATTCTTGAACCTTGGAGTGCCAGTGATCTCTTAATTTTTTACTGATCTGCACGTAACAGCTGTCTCACCTCAACACAGGTTTCTGCACAGATATGCACACTGTACTCCTCCACACATCCATGTGAATGAGGCCTAAGAGTGAAAGGACCGTAAAATCCCCCCATGTGCATCAAGAACAACCACGTCCACACCAAATGTTGAGTGAAGATGGATTTAGCTGAGAGCTGAAAAGTTGAGAGTAACATTCAGTATTTATCGTTACATGTGTACTCTGTTTGGAAACCAACAACTATATTATAGAAGTCTCTACCTTCCCTCTTTAACTTTCTCTGTTTCTATGGAGTTTCTTCATAGTACTATTTTGATCCAATATATATGCACTGGTTATGGAAGAGATATGGAAACCTTTGGTCTAGGGGAGCAAAATCAACCAACCAGCAAATTTGTTGTAGTTCGTTTCTGATTTTTTTGTTATTTCGTTTTTGGGGATTCAGGTCTGAAAGTCAATTCGTTTTGTTATTCGGATTCTTCCGAATCCAAATTTTTCAGATGCGTTAGATAATTACGAACCCATGTTCATTGCAGCAAAGTGATAATAAATGTTTTTTTTTTCTTTTTCCCTTTTGACAGTCCACAGCAACTATAAAAAAAACAGTGTACGGTCCCCCCCCCCCCACACTCAGAAAATGCCCAAACTGATTAGAAGTGGGTGCTGCAGTGAATACGGATGGTTCCACAAGCAGATCAGTAAAAAGTGAAGAGATCACTGGCACCCCAAGATTCAAAAAGTGACTTTGTTTGCCTGAGGAAGGAACCAGGTTGGGTTCTGAAATGTTGCTATACACTGTGAGAGCTTTTAAGATGTCAACAAAGGAGGTTTGACATTCTTGAACCTTGGAGTGCCAGTGATCTCTTAATTTTTTACTGATCTGCACGTAACAGCTGTCTCACCTCAACACAGGTTTCTGCACAGATATGCACACTGTACTCCTCCACACATCCATGTGAATGAGGCCTAAGAGTGAAAGGACCGTAAAATCCCCCCATGTGCATCAAGAACAACCACGTCCACACCAAATGTTGAGTGAAGATGGATTTAGCTGAGAGCTGAAAAGTTGAGAGTAACATTCAGTATTTATCGTTACATGTGTACTCTGTTTGGAAACCAACAACTATATTATAGAAGTCTCTACCTTCCCTCTTTAACTTTCTCTGTTTCTATGGAGTTTCTTCATAGTACTATTTTGATCCAATATATATGCACTGGTTATGGAAGAGATATGGAAACCTTTGGTCTAGGGGAGCAAAATCAACCAACCAGCAAATTTGTTGTAGTTCGTTTCTGATTTTTTTGTTATTTCGTTTTTGGGGATTCAGGTCTGAAAGTCAATTCGTTTTGTTATTCGGATTCTTCCGAATCCAAATTTTTCAGATGCGTTAGATAATTACGAACCCATGTTCATTGCAGCAAAGTGATAATAAATGTTTTTTTTTTCTTTTTCCCTTTTGACAGTCCACAGCAACTATAAAAAAAACAGTGGACGGTCCCCCCCCCCCAATTCATACCAGACCCTTTAGGTTTGTATGCATCCGAATTTCGTTATCAGAAAATTCAGATACGTTCGGATTCGTTATTTGCACATGTCTAGTAGTGAATAATTTCTATGGGATAAAGAAAGTGTTCCGTGCAAAGTGTACCATTGTGTTTCATTGATTGGTGGACATGAACGGTGGGTGTTACTAAAGGACATGGTAATTGCAAAACATCCTTTCACATCTTCCAGACTTAGCCTCCTTTGGTCTTATGAGATCTCATGGCCACAAATTTGGTGTTTGAAGAAGTTGGTGTTAGAAGACTTCCCTCTGCCAGATGCTGTGATCACAGGCCTGAATGGGGAGCAGACAGCTATATAATGCTCAGCATGTGTCATTGCCTGCGGGTACCATACTGTTCAATGCCTGGGTGATAAGCTATCTCCATTCTGAGCCACCAGGCCAGCATATCTTTTTAGTATAGGTCCAGGGAGGCAAATGCTCCCCTGCACACCAGCCCATTCCTTTACTAATATTAGCATGTCAGGAGAATTATCTAGCCCAAAGAACACCATTTTTTTTTTTGTTATATGGACAGAGTGTCTTATAACTTGAAGCACAATTTGTTGTATTTTATAACAGTTTTGTTTGGGGCATTTAACATACTTTGCCAGTCTGTACATTGGATACTATATCCAGCTCACCTTTTGGCATTGGAACAAGTAGGTCTAGCATCTTTTGGGAAAGATTTGGCCAAATGGCCAGTATTTCGTTCTGCAGCTCTGAATCCAGCTGTTGTCTGTCAGCTCCCCCTGCAACAAGGCAAATAATGGAATATTCAGCACTGATTGCAAGGACAGTACACTAATAAGACAGGTTCCTAGTCATGTAGATCAATAAACCAAAAAAAAAAAAAAAGACATGTACATGCAAGTATGCCTGTATACAGAACCAAACATTAATGTCGCCAAAACAGAATCCATACTCTTAAAGGAGAACTATGGGGTCAGTGTTATTCCCCATAGTTCTCCTTAGGGTAACGGGAGGACACAAACTAGCGTCCTCCCGTTACCCTAAGCTCAGTATACCGCGAGCTACAGCTCGCGGTATACTGAGACGCCGCAGCCGGAGCGGATCACGACTTAGATGACGGGATCCGCCCAGCTGCGTGAGTGACAGCTGGCTCTGCCTATCTAGAGGCAGAGCCAGCTGTACCTGCCCCCTCCCTGTCCGTTCCGCCAGTCAGCGCTGGCAGATCGGAGTGGGGAGAGGGGAATCCAGCCCCTCCCCCTGTCACGGCAGAGAGCCGTGACAGGATCGAGAGGCGAGCGAACGCGGTATGTGTTCGCTCACCTCCCCATCTACTGAGCCGACCTGTGACAGTCACATTGTCACAGGTCGACTAGAACTATGAGGTGAGTGAAAAGCACTCACCTCATAGTTCTCCTTTAACTTTAGTAACACCCTTATTTAAAGGTGACATTTTTTGTAGAAATTACAATTTAAAGCTGCACTCCAGACAAACAGCCAAATGCACAGGTTAAACAAATGTATAAAGGAGCTGCTTACATTTAAAAAAATATATATTAAATGATTTTTTATGATTGTCTCTTTTATATCTGTCTAGAGCCCAGCTTTAACTTTTACGTGTAATGCATCACTTCTGTATATGCACCTTACTCCAGAGCATTAATTAATTATACTCCTTTTATAGTATATCCTTAAAGTGTAAGTCCAGCCAAAACTTTCCTCTGAGTTTGGAATGGGTAAAAGGGTTAACACCCTTGCCAGAATTGTATATCCGTCTGTGTCGCTGTTGCAGATTTTTCCTCACTTCCTGTCTGGTGAAACTGTTGTCAGCAGGATAGGAAGTGAGTGCAAAGCTCTCTAATGCTGCCCCAGTTAAGAATAAAAACCTTTAAGCCTATCATAATGGGGCTGCTGCCTTTGTGTATGTCCAGTTGTCTAAATGTGCATGTAAGGCATTACTATTAGTATTTTTGGGTGAATTAAACTAACAAGTATCAACATAATGTTATTAAAGAAGAACTGTAGTGAAAAATAAGCCTTACACTGGTCGCCCCTCCACACTGCAAGGACGTAAATGTTCATATTGTCTAGGGGTAGGGGAATATACAGAAATACTTAATTACTTACTTAGTTATTCCTCTACCCCTAGACAAAATGAGCATTTAACCCCCATAGTGTAGGGGAGGACACACTGCAAGCATTGAAGTGTGTTTTCCCTGGAGCTTCATCCATGATTCATCCATGATATAAGAATCTACATATTATATTTGTTTCTGCTCAACAAGGCCAACTAAGCACATCACATTATTGTGGTTACAATGCCTCTGTTTCTTACCTTTGGCAATTTTCACATCCAGTGCTGTCCGGATAAGAGCCATTAGAGTGGAAGTGAAATGAACCGTCATATCTTCTGTTACGGGCATATTCATCAGGACCAGTCTCTGTACAAAAACACCGGGTGCCCAAGATATGGGATATCGACAAGGGGACCCAAAGCAAACAAGCACACATATGCACATAATCACTACACCATACACAGAACAGGGATGGAGACATCACTCCCCAAACTTCCCTCTATATCCCCAGCTCCACCCTATTCCTGTGTCTCTAAAAGAGAGAGAAAATGACAAAAGGAGCATGCAAGACATCGCCCCGAATATAGCTGATTTCCTGTGACAAAGAGTACTGGTAGTACTGGACAAAGGGTCTGGTATGAATTGGGGGGGAACCTCACACTTTTTTTTTCCATCTTCTGCAGACTGTAAAAAAAAAAAAAAAATTCATTTTTTTCCCTAATGTCATTTTGCTGCAACGAAATTCGTCCAATAAGGAATTTCATTGCAGAAAAATGACATTAGGGAAAAAAAAGACTTTTTTTTGTTTTGTTTACAGTCTGCAGAAGATTAAAAAAAAAAAAGCGTCTGATAGGAATGTTAGGAGAATGCCAATTCAAAAGCAAAGAAAAAAACAAAAACTTTATCCATTACTCGCCCTGCCCTGGATTAGAACCTGCGACCTTGTTGTAGAGGGAAAAAGTTGTCATTTTTTTTTCCTAATGTCATTTTGCTGCAACGAAATTCGTCCAATAACGAATTTCGGGAAATCGGGAATTTCGTATTCGTTTGCATTCGTCTTAGCTGTAATTCAGAATTCGGATGCATCTGAATCTCAGAATTTCCGAAAATTCGTCAAAAACGAATTTCGGAACGAACCGAATCGCACATGTCTAATTTTTATGTGTTGAGGTGCATTGTAGCACACTGCATTAGGCAGTACATTCAAAATTAATGAGCTATAATGCGCCCTCAATTACATTTTAGGTCTTGCTGCATTTTCTGCAGTGCAATACACACAGTGTGTGTTGGTGGGCTCGCTCTGGAGTTGTGTAGGGATGCCATTCTAAATAGGAGGCATCAAAACACGCTAACGTGTGCATGGTGCGCTACTGCTGCTGCACACTACTGCAGTGAAGATAGTATGAGCGATCCCTCAAGTGCTAAAGGAAGAGGGTCAACATGTCAGCTAGGCAACAATGGCAGCCTCCATGTTTTTACTCATCATAGGTTACTTTTACCTTGGTAAAAACACGAGCAAATCAAACGAAGCATGATGAAATATGCAAAATTAGTGGTTGCCATAAAACCACACATCAAAACAATCACTAGATGCAGAGATACAGACAGGCAAATATTTACTATTCCTGTAAGGGTAGAGCTTGACCCTTCCCCATCCCACCACTCTTAAGCTAGCCATTCACATAGAGTGGTTTAGCAAGAGAAAGTGCTCAATTACCCCATCCACACTAAACAGCATGGATGGAGCACTCACGAACACCGAAACAGCGACTGTAGCTGATTGGATGTAGCCACTGTTCAGCCAGCAATTTTTCTCATGATTCCTTCAAATTTTTTTGAGTTGAGTGGTGCCAGCAGGGCCACTCAGACTTAGAATTTTGGATGCTTCAGAGGAATTTGTTGAATTTCTAACATTGGGCACCTTTATTGTTCATATTTAATGTAAGTGGTTTATATCTCTGCATCTACTTTTGAAGGTAATCTGCTCATGCATTTTTCATCATATACATTACTCAGTTTGATTTGCCCAGGTTAATGGCAAAATTATTTAAAAATGTATGTACAAACATGTTAGTAATGTTTTGGATAGAGCAGGGAAAGATTAACATCCTCTGTCAAGTTTTTATTGCTGTCTGTGTCCCTACTGGGTAGATTCACCTCCTTTTTTTTGCCTTGGTGACCACTTTACCTGTGACGGAAATTAATGGGAAATCCAGAACTTTGCAGTTGTCACCAGAACAAAAGATAAAAGCAAATCTTGCAATGGGAACCCCCTTTTCTGTCACTTTCTTAAAGGCGAAGTCTCCTCCCCGTTTTGTATAATTCACTTTTTGTTACTTGTGTTTTGCTAAAATTATTCTTTCCCAAAATCCCGAAATGGTTCCAGCCTTCAAGAACCAGATATGTGTATCCCTACACTATCTGCAAGAACAGGGAACTACAATCATACTAACCTGAGTGTAACTGTAAGTCATGCATAGTGCAGCTCACAGAGGCATTAGGGAGAGAATTAGGATCGGGAAGGGCATTTTGTTTTTTTGTTGCTTAATTCTTATGGCATGATTTTTTTTATTTTTTATTGTGAGGCGGAAAAGTTAATTTAAACTTTAGTCACTTTAATTGGATACTGTTAGGATTGCACTGTTAGGATTTGTGTGCATAACATTCATCTTGAACCCATTATTGCTCCTACTTGGTGATTTAGTAACTTAAATTAATTTTTTTAATCCTTTCGCTGATTCAAATAGGGTTATCTCTACCTTATAAGCCACTTTGTTAGGACATCTCTTTCCGAGGCCTAAAGGTGGTGACATGAGGGTCAGCATTTCGTACATCTCTGGATAATGGATGCGGCCACTGGTTATGGACAGGGGGAGCCAGAGGAAGAGGAAAGGAGTGATGTGAGGACAATGGAGCCAGCAATGAAGGGACGAGGAAAAGCAGCATATCCATGGCAGCAAAACCCAAACCCCCAAAAAAGGAAAGTAACAGCAAACAGTAAAACGCACAGGAAACAAGGAAGAAAAGAAGGAAACAGAAGAGAAGAGGGAGGGGTTAATAAATGCCTCGACCTCCCCAGAAGCAGATTCAGATGGGTTTATATCACACCCATGCCAGTAAATAGATCTTTCCCACCCATGCCCAATTCCTCTCTTCTGTTTTTAAGATGTCTATCACTCCATCTTAATGATGTCACAAGCATGTACTATATATCAACTCCAGATACCCATCTCCAGGTTCAGAATGCATCTTCAGATAGTTCAGCTGTCATAGCCATTCAGATAGATTACTGCTCATAAGGAGCTGAGGCTTTTGGGGAGCCGTGTATCTATTCTGGTGATGACAAAGAGGGCACAACTGTCAACTTTGGTTATAGGAGTGAGATCCTGCAGTTGCTTCCTGGTGTGGCTCCCAGCATTCACCAGTGCAAAGCATGCCCAGGGCTGCATACAAGGAAAGTTTTCATGCATGTTCCCTGCCATTGTCTTCAGCTCATGCCAAGCTGCAGATTAGAGAGTCAACCAGCTGCCCCCAAACACCAGTAACCCTGTATCATCGGAGAGGGTGGATGTATAGCCTCTATTCACAATCCTAAAATAATCCCCAACCAACTTGAAATTAATTATGTGCAGATGGGCATATATAGCAAAGCCCTGCAGAGCAATAATGGCAGACCGATTTAACATGTTTTAATGTGAATTTCTAATCTAAACTTGAACTGCTGTATATTGTTAGCTATATTTCTCAAACCCTAAAGTATCAGTATAAAACTGATATTTCAGCTATCAGACCTTTACTGAAAATATCTTTAGTCTAATCTAATATATTTTTGGGAGTCTAGCAGCAATTTCCCTTTTAGCAAGAATTCCTGGCTTTGTTGCCCTACACCATGCAGTCTTACTCCTCACACAGTGTTAGTTGGAGTCTCAGTCCTGATATGGTGATAAATTTAATTTAAAGACCAAACAGACTTAGGAACTAATTTGACGAGATCCTGCCTCTAGAGTCCTCATGAGAAATATAAAGCTGGTGGGAAACTCAACCCTCTAGCATTTTATCAAACCTGAAATATCAGTTTTGGACAGACTGAGTTATTTATTCCTCTTTCCATGCCTTTTGTAGTGTCAGTTACTTAGTCATGGTTCACCCAAGTCTTTTATGAACTACTGTTGAGTCCCAGGGACTAGCTTGGGTGCAGCTGCTAATGTAGTGGGACGGTTAGGGAGTGAATGTCAGTCTTTAAACCTGGAGGCAGCAGCCCGAGGTCCCTTGCATGGTGCAGTAGTGGAGCGGTGGAGGGGGAGGGATAGTTAGGTGAAGGGAAAGGTGGAAAGGTAAAGGTAAGCTATGCCCTTGCTGAAGTGGAAAGGGCTGATAGATTGGGCACCAAACCTTGCATGCCACCCTGTACGGGCAGTTCTCTCCTAGGCCGAGCGGAGGCGAGATGACTCGGACTAATTTGTACATATCCTTATAGGGGATCCTGCCACTGGAAGAGAAGCACAGGCATGTTAATCAGAGCACAGCTCAGTACCATGAAGCTGGAGAGACTTCCGTGGACAGAGGACAAACCCCCCACAACTTCAGTCACTGCACCATGGGAGCTCCAGGGGCAGCACAAAGACCAAACCCAGCTCCTTCAATATATCTGCTGCTCAAACTGGGACATGAAAACAGGCAAGGATAGGTAACAAACCTCAACCAGTCATTCTTTAGTCAGGAAACAGGATTATACAATATATTACAGAATTCCAGAAAAAATAATAACTGTAATATTAACTTAATCAACTGGGAATCTAGTTTACTTTATTTCACTATCATATTTTCTTTCTACACCATATTTCTGCATGGCAAAGGGCTCATAATTAAGAGGTTCTAAGGATAAAGAATGCAGAAGACAATTTACCATGCTGCTCTGTCGTATTCCGCCCAGATTCGAACAAACTCGTCCAGATGGTGGGGGCCGAGAATAGAAGAGTCTCTGGTCAGGTATTCAAAGTTATCCATGATGACAGCAACAAAAAGATTTAACATCTGAGGAAGAAACACATAAATTCTAAATTCTGAAAACTGGAATTACATTTAATTTGTTAAATCAACACACTCTATGTCATAAACAATTGCCATGTTTTCTCATCCTTTTTTTGCATCTCCTGCAACTAATCTGCAGTCACTTCCTGTGTATATTAACTCTAGCAATGGCTGCATATCTCTACTCAGGGTGAGCTTCCGAATACAGACAACAGTGGGCCATGCGTGTATAATGTGTTAAAGTGGTCAATTGTAGTCCCCATCAGAAGCCCATGTGATACAGTGACGATGCTGGTGCACAAATTGGAGTCAGGAACAAAGTTTTGCCACCCCATAGGAAATGCCTGAAGAAGAAACTTATTGTTTTAACTAAAGCTGTAGATTTAAAAAAAAATTAAAATTACTTTTGAAATCACATTAACATGTTTAAGATTATATAAAATGTTAGTGATTGGGTTTACATGTACTTTAAGAGCACTGAAAAAAAGTAAATGCTGTAATGCTAGTTTATGCAATGTTATTTTCAAACCAAATTGCCAGTGTTAAAACACAGAAAAATACATGTTAACTACATGGAACTCTAAGCAATAAAGTTAAGCTACACAAATAGAACCTATTTGCATTGTTATCTGCTAAGTTGGAACAGTCCATGACTTCTTTATCTGCCACATGTTTTTCTCCTGTGCCTGGTAACATGACATTTTGTACAACCACAAACAGTTCCCCTATTGATTAATTACTGGTCTCTGTGACTTTAAAAGCCAGTGACTAACAGAAACAGTTAAGGTGCCCATACACTGTTCAAATTTATGACGTTTTTTGAGGAACCGGCCGAAATCTGCACATTGTGTGCCGCTGTCGGCACCCTTTCAATCGGCATCCCTCGATCAGCTGATGGAAGGAGCCAATACAAAAAATCCCCCATCGATCAGAGCCGGCAGCCAATATAAACAGCTGGATTCCTTGATCGACACACTGTTAGTGTTGATGGAGGAATGGTGCTATTTTTTCCGTTCAGCCCGTGGGTTCAGCGTATGGCCAGCCTTACATGTTTGTTGAAGTTAGCAGCTGTCCAATCTGCCAGGAAGCAGAGTAGGCAGTCTGCTTAGCCCACTTTGTCCATCCACAATTGCACTAATAAAACAAATAAAAAGAAGGGACACCCTAAGTCCTACAGAAATGGGCACACTTAGCTTTAAACTATCAAAAAGTTTACAGTTCAAAAAGGCTACCACTATGATGTCCTTTCATTTCACCATGCAGGTGCCCATTTTGTTTAATGGAAACTTCAGAGGCTCAACCAGCAGTTTTGTCAAAAGCAGAGGCTCGGGCGTGGCCTGGACATGGCGCCGTGAAGACATGCTTTAGGGGAGCTCTGTGATCACTGAACTGGACATACATTTTAGCCGAAACCACCATGAAGGACCTGGTAATGGTGGACTTGGCAGACAACCCTGCTGCCTGCTTGCTACATCTGACCCATATGTCCACTGGGAAGTACAAGCGGTCCTTGTCTCGACATCTCCTGAATGCGGCCCGCTCCTGTATACCTCTGTTGTGGAAGCAGTCTTGCTGCCCAACCCTCAAGATGTGGTTCTCCAAGACTGATGAGATGTATAGCAGAGGCTCAACCAGCAGTTTGTCAAAAGCCAAACAACAGCAATATCTGACATAGGAGAATGGCTGGCATTTTTCCAGTAGAATACCAATTAAGTTCCCAATTGAATTTGAGACGCTGGGAAGAAAAGTTGAGCAAAAACTGTAAGGTAACAGTGGAATCATCTTAGCTACATGTATAGATCATTTATATGAGTGTTAGTCAGCTTGCTTGATAAAAGGGGTATCATCTGTGGCCTTTGGCATCCTCAGGGGGGATGCACATTATATTCGGTATATGTAATGCTATATAACATTGCCAGAGATTGCTGATGTAGTGCTGGATTTGTTCAGAGACAGGCTACAAGTTTGGTTGGAGACAATTAGAGGCTGGGAACATGTTACAATAAATTGCAAGTAATTACTGCTATTACAGCCTCTTTTCAATTCAATTCTCCTGCTACTATCTGCAAGGGCCTGAGGGCTGCACATTGGAGTTCTTTTTTTTTTGAGAATAATAAATGACAAACATCTCATGCATTAAAAATTGTGAAGGTCAAACTCACCAGAAAAGAACAGAAGAAAATAAAGGAGACAAAATACACGTAAGCCAGATCAGTTCCACAACGCTCGTTCTCGTTATGCGCAGCAGCACTAGTGTCGGGTTCACAACCTTTATCTCCCAGGCATGACAGCATGATCTCCTGCCAGGCCTCACCAGTGGCACTCCTAGGAGCCAGAGATGGAATTAACAATTATAAAATCATACATCAAGCTCATATCATCATAGCTAAATATTCTTTTGACTTTAAAACATTATCACTTCCACCTGTGGTACCCACTTCCTTCGGTCTGAGACACTTTCTGAATTATAACAGTTTATGCTTTGGAATCAATTTCAAAAGACAAACTGTAAATGCAGCAGAATTTCTGCTTCTTAACAAGATGTTGTTCCTCAATAAATGAATGAATTGACTACACATCAGCATGTTTCTATGAGCTCTCAGTCATGGCTCCTCACCTTCAGCTTTAATAAGTTGGCTCACATAAAGCCAGCATTTCTACAAGCATGTTAGATGCAGTTTTGTGCTGTGAACATGGCACAGCAACTGTGAATAATCACAGTAAAGATTCTCTTTGGATTTTGCCTGCTTCAATTGTGATCTGGATGCCACAAAAAAGCCTGGTAAGTAGCGTGAAGTTTTAATGCCGACCCTCTTTGGGATGAAGGAGGGTAATTACTAGAATTTGTAACATACTTTAGCTAATTTAAACCTTTTGTGACATTGATACCTAGATGCTCAGGCCAAATTTAGCATCATCAGCATGTGTTAGTTACCTTATCAATTTACAGTCCATGTATCCATCACACTCCTGACCGCTTTTTCCATAGAGATTAGGTGGGTGCAATGGTAGTCGACGGATGGCCACCATCTATATGCATGAAAAAAAATATGGACACCGGCACTCCAGATGCAAATCAGATATGTCTATTTATTGACGTACATGCAGCATATCACACTCAGTGCAACGTTTCGGGGTCTCGCAGGATCCAATTCATCAGTCAGAACAAGTGATCACCTATTCTGCCTGATGAAGGAGATCCTGCGAGACCCCGAAATGTTGCACTTAGTGTGATATGCTGTACGTACGTCAAAAAATAGACGTATCTGATTTGCATCTGGAGTGCCAGTGTCCATATTCCTATTCAGTTACCTTATCAATAACTCAATTTTTCCACCTAAATAATTTACCTAAGGACATAGAAGTCTTTTTTATTAAAGGCTGACAAGCACATGAAAATGTAGAAAACACTTTTTTTCCTTATTTTTTAATTTATGTAATTTTTGATATACAGTAATTGTATCTGTAATTTATAGTAATAAACAGGGGAACACTGCCACCTTCAGTTTGCAGTGTTAGCGTCAAGCTCAAGGCTTATTTTGTTAATGAATTCTCCAGCCTGCATGCTATAACTATGTCATAGCTGATATAGCGGTCAGACAGTGCCCCGACAGTGGGAACCAGAGTTTTCAGTGAGAGCCAGAATTGATTTTGGCCATTATTGGCCATTATTAACATTTACCCAGCATGGGTCATTATGCTGAGAAAGGATAATATACAGATTGTGGGTGGAAGGGTGAGATGAATGCAAATATGGCAAGTTTACAAATAAAACAATTTTTCTCTTCTTCTTGCAGGTAAAGACTGATAATGGTTTCTGGATAGCTCTTCATACACAAGAGTTAGTACATCAAAGAAGGAATACCTATAGCTATAAAATTCTGCATGTACCAATTTCCTGCAGGGCTAAGCAAGCACATCTATTGTGTTTACAAGGATGCATTTCTGCACCCAATCACAAAGTGTCTGTCCTTCACCCACCTCCTCAGGATTTCCTTTTGATTAACTGTGCAGCTTCTAGTCATTCTAGGAAAAAGCTGATCTACAGAAATAATTACTTTAGGACTAAAAGATGCCCAGAATAGCTCAACCAGATATGAGCAGCAACATAACATGTTATGTGTAATTATGAAGGTACACTTATTCAAAGATGTAAACTTCCTGAAAAAAGTAGTAAAACACTTGTCTAGTAGCTAAATATAGTCTGGGTATGACCTACATACATTTCAATGTGTCTTTTCTAGTCATTTGGACATGTTAGTATGTAAAATCAATATACAATAAACGTTGAATCTTGGAGACAAAAGAATTACATAGTGAGTGCTGGGGTAAACTGTTCTCGATCAAAATCTCCTACTGAAAGAAATTTTTTAAATTTATTATAGGTATTCATATAGCGCCGAAAATGTACTCAGTGCTTTACATAGTTGCACATTCACATCAGTCCCTGCCCTCAAGGAGCTTACAATCTAAGGTCCCCATCTCACATGCATACATATAGGGCAAATTTAGACAGGAGCCAATTAACCTTCCAGCATGTCTTTGGAATGTGGGAAGAAACCGAAGTACCCGGAGGAAACCCATGCAAGCACAGGGAAAACATGCAAACTCCTTGCGGATGGTGAATTTCTGCTTTAATTCTTAATTGACCCCTTAAGCACTTTAGCAAGGAAAAATAAATGACAAAACCAATATGCATTCCGTTTAATGCTTCCTTGCAAAACTGATTTAGTGCTATTAACTTGGAATCTATGGGAACTCACCTGAACAGCAGCATGAGGGAACTGGAGAAACTCCTGAAGTTGTTGTGTCTATTAATATGGCTGTCCTCTTCCAATTGGATGTTACCAAATACCTACAAAACAAAATTAAATTACTATCTAGGCCTCACTGTTTGCAACTTCCCTAAGGTATATTAAAAGGGGCTCTTAAATCTAAAGATGTACTCCTTCTAACCTGCACTCATCTTACAAATAGGCGCAGATCTTAATCCAATTGACACATACTATGACTCAGTGGACTACACACAATACACTCAAATGGGTGGCTTCATACTATAGCCAGAAATGCTAAAAAGTCCCTAAAGTGGGAATATAAAATATGATCCCAGCACTTACTGGTTGCAGGCAACTTAAGCAACTTTCCAGATGCATCTTGGAAGATTAATGTCATCAAGCTTTCTCTTCATCAGTATAATATGTCTTTCATAAAAACTCTAACATTAAAGTATATCAAAGTTAAAATATTTTTAAATATTGGATAGAGTAAGAAACAGTTAAAACCTTTGAATTGTTTTGCCATCAGTGTCTCATTCTGAGGTTTTTCCTTTACTCCTGTCCTGTAGACACAACAGGAAATGAGAGGACATATCCCCAGAGTAAGGGAAATCCCCTCTTAGACAGTTGTCACCTGAACAAGTGTTCCCACTGGAAGATTTCTCCTTTACCAGTTTGGTGACATCTCAAAATTTTGGATCTTTATTTACTTTCAGTCCTGGTGACAATAGTCACCAGAACCAATAGATAGAGTGAAGGCACAGACCACAATAAAGACTGGATAGGAGCTTTAACTCCTCACCACTCTATGCACTAAAAAATAGTTAGCTTTAGATACGCTTTAATCTGCCAAGATGCATCTGGGAAGTAGTGACCTGGATTGTTGATACAAATATGTTCTTCAGGTTAAATATAGACTTTACAAGGTGTTTTTTTTTTATCTATCAAATTTTAGTAAGCATCTTTGCCTCTTCCTCTTTGGCAGGTATTGAGAAAAGGCATTCCAGTTTACTTGTTGTTACTATAATTAAATGATCAGCCACTGTGTTGGATTAAGATATAATTAACCTCTTTTTAAACTTACAAGTTTCTCACTCAAGATGAAACTCTTACTAAAATTAAGTACAGTACCAGAGATGCCATATTCATGCAACAGGTTTCATGACATTTCACCTCAAGCTCTGGGAGAGGCAGTGAGCCAGTTTAGTTAGTCAATGTTTTATTAGCTTAGAATATTTATTGTTATATTATCGACAGTAATAATTTCATAATAATACATAAAAGCTACTGACATTTACTAACAAAAGAATGTTCGGAGAAATACTTTTATGTGCACTAAATATTGTTAGATGTCAGGCTAACCTGCATGCCTATAATGGCATAGATGAAGAATAACATAGCAATCAGGAGGCAGACATAAGGGAGAGCCTGTAAATAATACAGAAAAAAGGTAATTTAAGTGACAACAACCACTGCAACATACATATTTCTTACTTGCAAGAAAAAGGAAACTATGCACTTGGATTTGCTGTTGCTAAACTCCGTGCAGTGCAAACATTTTTGATTGGTTTATATAATTACTTTAAAACAACAAATTGCCTAAAGGGCATAACATTTTACGTGAACACATTTTATTGCAGTGCTTACTTTAAACTATTTTTATATGACTTTTTTAAGCTTGAGCTTCCAATATTTGTGCTATTGTAATAAACTTAGTGATTTGTATACTAGCCACTAGAGGACGCATTCATTGGCACAGTGCAAATACTCTGACTCTCTCTTGTTTTCAATAAAAGGGCGCACTCTGCACACTCCAAAGCAAGATGCAGATCCTGCATATGTAGTAAGCAGCTATGGCTGCCCCATTTAAACAGAGACTGAGCTAATTCGTGTTACACATTTATTAAAAAATGAAAGCACCATATATGAATTACTGATATAAAAGAAAAATACTCCATTAATTGTCACATTCACCACCAATATATGGTATTCGGGATAGTTAATGAAACCACCACCAGTGTGAGATGAAAATAAGGAGACCACCACCAGTATGAGGAGATAAGGAGACCACCACCAGTACAAAGTGGAGATAAGGAGACCACCACCGGTATGAGGTGGAATTAAGGAGGCCACCAGCAGTATAAGGCACAGATTAGGAGATTACCACCAGTGTGAGTTTGAGATAAGGAGACCATGAGGTAGAGATAAGAAGTCCACCATTTGTATGAGGTAGAGTTAAGAAGATTACCGCCAGTAGGAAGTGGAAATAAGGAGACCCCCACCAGAACAAGGTGGAGATAAGTGGGACCACCACCATTATATGCTGTAGATAACAAGACCAGCACCAACAAGAGATGAAGACAAGGAGGCCACAACCAGTATGAGGTGGAGAAAAGGAGACCACCACCAGTAAAGGGGAGGAAAGCAAAACCATCACCAACAGGAGTTGGAGATAAGCACACCTCTACTAGTACAAGGTGAAAACAAGAAAACATTGCTTTATTAATATTTTTATTTGAATAGTTATTTCTATCAGTGGCTAACAGGTAGTTCCATAGTACTGAGTGTCTGCTCCCTTGTCCCAGTTTTAAATAATGCTTTTTGTGGGCATACATGGGCACGTTTGCCAAAAAAGATGGGTATCTGCCCAATTATAAACAATTTGGGGTCAATTCACATACCTCAGCGTTATGAGAGTAGAAGTTAATTTATCTATCCTTATTTTACCACTCTTTATTTTACTGGCTGAAACATGCAATTCACAAAAGCTGGAATCGTGAATGCACACACAGTTTAACGTTCCTTAAGCAAGTGTTATTTTAATATCACAGACTTTATTTTATCTATTGCTGTGATAAAATAACATTTTTGGGTGTTATTTTAACACTTTTGCAGTGCATTTTGGTAGCATAAGGGGTGGAGCAGATGCCACTGTTACTTTCACTTTCACCACACAAAAGGATTCCACATATAAGGAAGGAATATATTCCATATTCACCACATGCATACTAATTTTAGATTTGGTAGAGCAGAAATCATATAGAAATAACAATAACTTTTTTTCTGAACAGAATGAATATATGAATTACATTTATTTAGATCTACATCTGTTGACAATCAGACAGTGTAGGGAGGGCAAGCAATTCTCCTTACCGCCTATAAAGCCTGTCTTGATATTAAATATGTTGCATGGAACAATCCACTTGCTCTACAACCCCACTGAAGAGTGTTCAGGGACATTTGATTTTTCGTGTAATGTGAGATTTGCCACTAACCTCTAACTGTAAAATATCATCCACATTTGTAGAAGGATAAAAACTGTAGAAATGACAACTACATGTCACCTTCTTCTTCTGTACACAAAAGCAGTAAACCATGTGAAAATGAAGAAAAAGGGTTCCATTTCTATCTACCTCATGTCATCTCAGTGCAGCAAGCATCAGATAATGCCTGAAATCTGTCATAACACCACCCTGAAGGAGGTGATAAATCTACGTCTCAATAACGAGTGATAAAAGGACCTTTTCCTTTTGTGAATTGCATTTCAAGCATATTTTATCACTCCAGTTGTTAAAATAACGTCTGAATAGTTAAAATAACGTCTTAATAGTTAAAATAACGTCTGAATAGATAATTTAGCACTTCTTAAAAATAAGAAGCGTAATTGAGTTTTGTGAATTGACAACCTTTACACAGCAACTATATAACAAGCGATATCAATGAAATAATGGCCAAAATGAAGAAAATAAGCTTTGTCAATTGACCCCTTTGTGTGCTATCTAAAAACAATAAAATCTTCTTTCTGATTTGGCTTACAGATATTAGTGGTGCACACATGGAGAAAGGTGTATTCCCTCTTTCTCCACTTAACCAAAGAACATCAGTAATCAGTCACAAGGACATTATAACAACATAATGAGAAAAATCTCTATGTTGACTAAAGATCTCTTTACAATTGCAAGATCACATTACCACAACTCTAAACAACCCAATCAAAGCAAGCAGTTCTTAAAAAGATCACAGCAGACCATTGTCTTTTATTTTAGCTAAATGTCCCAAGATTTGTCTATTAGTCACCGGCTTTGTTGAAACCCTAACTGAAGACTCAACCTTTTTCTTTACAGTTATGTAGCCTTCCATGTCAAGGTTTTTGTTTGGGAATGCCCACAATGCTACAGCTCACTCACGCACTAGCACAAAAGACAGAGTAACAGCCATACCTCTCATAACAAGGGTCCTCGCACATAATTGTATTGCATGAGTATGAGAGGTAGTGTGCCTGACCAGGTCTGATTAGAGAATGCACTAGGTCAGCCTCTATTACCTATTGGACTACACAGGAAATGTAGACACACAACTGCTGTAGCAGGACAGTGGAGGTTAGTAAGATTATATAAATGGGAATCTGTTAGTACAATATCTAAGTAAATATTAATTTGTGTAATTTCTACTAGGCTTTAAGAAAAACAAGCACAATAGCACATTACCTTAAAGGACTGGACAAAAGTCCATAGTAAAATGCGGATTGTGTATCCCTGCCGAAGAAGTTTAATGAGTCGGGCAGCTCGAAACAATTTCAAGAAGCTCATGTTGAAACTGCTTGTGTTCACCAGCTAAATGGGTCAGATAAAAGAAACAACAATTAGTCCAAAGAATTCAATGCTGATTTTTTTTCTCCTACAGCAATTTATGTATCATTTATCCAGGTACCAGTTTGCAGGAGGCAAGTATATTTCATGTACAGCAAAAACCCGACACATAAAAGGTATCCCACATCTCCAGTACAATGCAGTGCACAGCACACCTCTTGTGCCTTTAAAAAGAAAGGTGCAGTGATATGTGTTAGGATAGCATGGGATAGGTGCAGTTGATCTCTCTTTAGCCATGGTAATTGCAGCACAAATGCTTGATATTGGATACTACTGTGCGGGTAAAAAAAAAAAGATAAATACTGTAAGCCAATCAGATTGCTGAATTGCCCTTGGACACAGGTTCCATGCCACTGAGATTTTAATTTGCCATATTTTTACCTCTGGTACGAGTGTGTGTAAACATATGTTGAAATGATAAAGAGTAGTGTAGCTAAAGACCTGTAACAATAACATGTGTCTCTGAGCCTTATGGGATTCTAGAGCTTATGTTTAATTTAATATTGATAATTATAATTAAACGTCTAGCCCGAAGTACTCTGTGTAGCAGCTGAGTAATATGCAAGCACTTGACACAGACTTTGCTCTTCAGTTACTCATTACAATTACCATGCATGAGAGGTCGCCTCACTGCTGGGTTTCCACAGAACGTAAAATTCCATTAAAGGACAACTATCAAAAAAATATTTAAAAAACACATTTATCAAATAATCCTTACTACCTGATTAAACAATTTATATTTTTGAAAGTTGTATGATGTTTTCATACCTTATCTCCAAGTCATTTAATGCACTGGTGCATCAAGTCCATCTGGAACATAGCTGTGGACACAGGATGTTCATCTCAACTCTTGCACTCATGGTTTATTCCAAATTGTTTTGTAAGGATTACTTGTGTGTATTGTATAATGACAAAAAATGACCATGACCCATCCAATCTGTGGATCACCTGTTACAAACTTGTGTGTCATGCACAAGCACTGCTGCTAGTGATCACCAGTGTTGTAAGATCTTGTAGCCTTGACTTGACACCTCTCAATGAATCACCTGAGCGTCATCATTGCTCCAAGGCAGCGGGAGACAACATTCTAAACATAATTGCTTGGATTAGAGAACTGAATTGCTGGGATTAGATGTCCACTGGTGCAGAGCTCAGATGACTTGTAGCAATGGGCCTAGATGGCACTAAAGCACATTACTGATGACCAATGATGTGGTTGAACCACAGTCAGTGGGAATCATTATGCAATATGCATGAACTCCCTCACCAAGAAGAGTTTTAAATAAATCATGGAAACAGGAGGCAAGTCAAACAACTCTTTTCCTCACAATATGATCTAGAGGAGGCTATTGTTTTCAACGCAATAGCTGATGTGCAAATGAGGTATTACCAAAAAGTACAATATACAAATAAATATTATAGATATTTAAGGAGGTTGTAAGAGCTATCTAAAGGCTCAATAATCTTTTGCATCACCGGTATTGTTGAACCATGCCAAACAAGAGGAAATTCAAAGATGTTGAAAGGGGCTTGAGTAAAATAAACAAACGTGCTACACTAAGTACCTAGCATTACACTCCAGTGAACTGCTGCCATATTGAGACATAAGGCTGCCCTAGGCATGCCTGAATGATGGCATCTTTTTTACAAACTTCACCCCTTTTTTTTTTAAATTATTTTAGTAAAAAAATAAAGCTACAATGCACTACTGGGGGCATCATGAGGCCTGCATTATACATACAGCTACTTTTCACTGGTTCAGACCACCAAATAAGTGAAAGGAATGGACATAAGAGCAAATCAAATTTAAAAAATGATCACATTTTGAATCCTGATTTTGCACCTTGTAAACCTGTTGTGCTAGGCACCAGCCCATAAATGTTGTTTGCTACTATGTTAAATACAGCTTTGCATTGAACATGAACAAGAAAATATAATTTTATAGAAAATTATATAATAATATAATATAATATAATTATATAGAAAAGGCCCATAGGCCCATAGGCAAGATCGCGACTTGTATCACATGGTACAGTGCTCAATGCAAAATACAACCTATTGCCAAGTCCACACATTGTCGTGTAGAGGCTTGGAGAGGTGCCAATACAACCTATTGCCCGACTCGGGCATTGTCATGTAGAGCGCAGGAAAGGAGCCAATAAATCCTACTGCCAGATGTAAATACTGGCATGTAGAGTGTGGAAGGATGAGGTTAATATATACCTTTTGCCAGGCCTGAGTATTGTCACAGACGCTGTGAGGGATTCCTATACTTATGCACTGGAAAGTCTCTATTTTCACTGTCAATTTGTGAAGCTCTGTGACCACAGTAGAAGGACAGAGACTAACCTAGCAGTATGTGCATGCACTCTATGCTGACTGCTTTTATGTGCAACTATAGTTCTGTGTGCAATGCCAGGGTCACACTGTTGTTTGTCAATCACAGTAAAAGTTCATCTACAGAAATTGTTTAATTGCGTGTCATTGTCATAAAGACAGTGATGGAAGCTGGAGCTGCTATTTAACATTCCCAGGTGTGTGCTGTATGTTGAAAATAAGCAGGAATCAGTACAGATCCCTGTGGTACTCCAGCTATTGAAGAGTGGAAAAGATACATAACTGGTGGTGAAAGGTAACAAGTACAATGTAATAAGTTGTTGAAAACAAAACTTGCTCAGAACTGTACAAAACCTCTCTGAAACAAACCGTTTGACACTGATAATGTATTTCAGGTATGATTCATATTTAAAGAATTGAAAGAAAGACAAAAAGCAATCCGCAACATCTCACCTTACTGTCTGTAAGTATTATCTCTGTGATGCTACCAACTACTGTAATAAAATCAAAAATGTTCCAGGTATCCCTAAAATAGTTCTAGAAGAAGAAAAAGCAGAACACGTTATATCACACTGATCAATAGAAAGAGAATATGAGTATTATGTCCATGGAACAACCTCATTATCACGTCTGAAAGAACACAATTTAAGAGACATTAGCGAAGTATCAGTTACGTACCAAGAATCCAAATGCAATGATCTTGAGGATGCACTCCAGGGAGAATAACATGGTGAAGGCGATGTTCAAATATTTTAAAGCAAGCTCATAAGTGTATGGTGCTTGATAATACTAGGAAGGATGGAACAAAAAAAAAGTTTTTTGAAGTTACAAAAAGGTTTTTCATAACTTTATAGATAGTGGTGATAACAGTACTTCTGGATAGAGAAGTAAGCAAAGACCAAGACCAATAACATCTAACAGTTGTCGCAGATTAAAAACTATTGAAAAATATCTTATAAAATGGCATTAGCATGTTAAAGCTCATACGAGAGTTCACTGATTGGGATTACGTTAACCAGGTCCCATACCTTCCCTTTTTACTACAATAAGTGGAATGGGTTATTTAAAGGAAATGTATCACAACTGGGTCCAAGCATGTGAGGAAGAGTCCCTGCACAGTCCCAAAATATAGCTTTTCTATGTGATCGTACAAGAATAAAGAGCTTTCCATTTTGGAACAACCTAATTAGTGTGCTGGCAACATATCCATGGGATACATCATGACCAGTTGAGAGAAGTTGCAGCACCCTCTTAACCACATGGTTGTTTCCAGTACAGTGTGCTAGAGGAACATGCTCCACAACTGGGCTTATGTAACTATCTCAAAGGTCAAGCTTAAATTATAATAGTGCAGGCTTTTGCAAAGTCTGACTCTCCAGCTTGTGTCACGGGGTGAAGTTCTAATAGTTGTTGTAGAGTCAGACAGTTCATGAGGCAGCAAATGCCAGACCTTACTGGAATATAATCCTTGCTAAATGTAAGTTCCGTGATACATCCCCTGCTGATCGGAGCAGTTCAGAATGGATGTCACCATATTGACATCTGTGTCAAGCCAGTTTTTTCCACCATCTGTGATGAAGGAAAAAACTGAACTTGCCAGAGCATTGTTAGGACAATGAGGATTTGGATGTAGGCGGATATGTGTCTGTTTACATTTGATTACCTCTGATCCATCATTTCACTTGCTGCATCAGCTTAATTGAGTAAACTCTCAAAGGTATTAATTAATTCTGAATATAATATCAAACATCTACTTTTAAAGAACAGGTATCATTATAAGGTTGCATTAAAATAAATAATATAAATACAAGAAGGAGTTTTGTTCCTACCTTCATCATTAGCACCACAGTATTTAGAGCAATCATAGCCATGATGGTGTATTCAAATGATGGTGAAACTACAAAGTGCCAGACGCGATACTGGAAGGTATTGCGATTCTGGGGCATATACCGAGTGAGTGGTTTGGCACTAATCGCAAAGTCTATGCAGGCTCTCTACGAACAAGAAAAACACATGTCTCAATGCATAGAATATTACTTTTTTTGACAATGTGAGAAGGACAATGGGGTACAGGCTTACACCCTTTGAGCACTGGATGGGTGAAGCTGAAGTAAGTTAAACCATTGTGCATGTTTTATTTATTTATTGACTATGTAGCAGAAAGCAGTGCCTGCATATTTATGAGAAAATATGGCACATATACAATATATTTACAAATTATATATAGAAACCAAATTTGTAAAACATGAAAGGCAGTTAGTAAGTCTGGCCCTTATAATCATGTAAAAAAAAATAAGAAGGTTTAATATCACTTTAAACTATAGGCAAAAAGAAAAACAAATACAAATATGATGCAGACCATCCATAGCATTAACACAGCAGGTTTTTTTCTTCTAAATCCTATCTGCAACATCATGTTTTTACCGATATATATGTAATTTAATGTATTTATGTAACCTGACATATATGTGTATATGTATATATGTAATTTTCTATTTTCCCATAGTTCAAGTTTTAAACAATTCTGAACCGTAAGCACGATATGAGTTTCACAGTCAAAAGACCTGAAGCTATCCATCACCTCATTCTTTTCCAGCCGGCATTCTTCCATCATCTTGTCCCCTTGTTCTTGGAAAGTGATGATAATCAGAGCCACAAAGATATTGACGAAAAAGAAGGGGAAGACAACAAAATAGACAACATAGAAGATTGACATCTCCATACGGTTGCCACGACTGGGACCACGGTCCTCTTCAGTCACATCCACCGAATGCTGTAAAACCCTAATAGCCAAAGATAACACAGGCCCCATGGGAAATATTCAGTATGGCTTGACTGCTATAATTATGGAGGTACTCTATGAATGGTACTTACTGAGGCCAGCCTTCCCCTGTAGATACAGTGAAGAGAGTAAGGAGAGCCCAAATTATGTTGTCATAATGGAAATCATGCCTCTTCCACTCTCTGCGTTTGACCTCCATCTTGTTCTTCTCATGATCTATGTAACTTCCTCTAAACAGATGACACATGCAGTCAGTCAAAGACATTTACATTGTTATCTGGCTCTAAAAATCTTTATTCCTAAAATGGCTTAGACACTTTTTGCAGATTACCCGAGTCCTACTTTTTTTTAGCACTCCATTAAAGTGACTCAGTTAATAAACTTTAATTAAAAAAAAAAAAGACATTTACATTGTTATCTGGCTCTAAAAATCTTTATTCCTAAAATGGCTTAGACACTTTTTGCAGATTACCCGAGTCCTACTTTTTTTTAGCACTCCATTAAAGTGACTCAGTTAATAAACTTTAATTATGAATAACTTTTTAAAGGTTTTTTCTAGGGATGTTCACATACCAGTATCTGCCAAGTTCGTAGCGGTTGCAGCTGCGACTGGACCCTGATGCTCCAGCACTGTCTTGAAATCATTAGTCTGTATTGTTTTAGAAAAACTGTCACATGACACTAAAAAAAAAACCTTTGTAATCTCTAAAGGTTTTTGCGTGTGTCATCTCTAAACAGATGACACACGCAGTCAGTCCACATATTGTCAAAGACATTTACAATTATGTCATGTTTCCTCGATGAGCTCGAAGGTAGAGGAAAGTAACTACAAGCTACTAGCGAGATGGTATTTAACACCTTCTAGAATGGGGAAATTTGATAAAAAACACTCCAAGGAAAAAATATGGTATTGGTATTAAATAAATATTATTATGGCATCCCTAATAATATAACAAATCATACATCAAAACAGGGATGCACAAATCCCACAAACCCCGTAGCCAATGCTTCTTAAAAATGACAGCTGCCTCCTAACTTTTGAGTTTTCTCTAGTCTAGTCTTTCAATGGAGCTGGAAAAGTATCTGTACTTGTACCAAATATGGTGCTTGGTATGTAAACATCCCTAGTTTTTTCCTCCTTTTATATTATATGCTAAAATGACTCAACCAGTACTGTAGACAGCGGTGGGACACTTTGCTATTTGTTAGATTATGGTGAATGCAGCAGGAGAAGTAAAACATTTTGATGCTGCAAGGTGAACCTGTAAAGCAAAGGACACTGCCATCCACTCCAGCTGGGGGTGGGGGAACATTAAGGATCCACACGTGAGCCCCTAAGAAATGAAAAGGCAACTTGTAATGTAACTAACCAATAGTCACTTGCAAATAAAATATTGGTTTTGGGCACACTTAAGGGCATATTTGTAAAATGGAGATCAAAAAGTCAATAATACAATTTTTTTCACCTCTGAATCTCACCTGCAGCTACTGAACTATTAGGAACCGTGTCGTTGGGCTTTTGTTCGCCTCAGAACTGCTTTTCTGTGCATACATATCAATAGGAATGTAAAAGCAGCTTGATGCAGCACAGAAGGAGGTCAAATGCACCTGTCAAGCAACTCTTATCTCAAAAGTACCTCAATCAGATTTCAAATGCAAGCAAAGTGCACCTGGAAACAAGCTGTACTTGCCCAAAGTCCTTATTGTGCCAAAATGAGATTGAGTAAAGTAATATCCAGGTGTCAGAATATTCAACCTCTTTTTTGACTATGCCCTTTTAAATGCTAACTCAATGTCTGTAATGGTATGATAATTTTACATACATATGTGTAAATGTTATTATTATATGCCTTTTTTTGGTATAGGATTATAAGCCCTTTAAATATCCTATGACTCAGTGTAGCTGAAAGCCAAGCAGAATAATAATATGAAGCAGCAGTCCACCAGTGTGAACCGTAATAAGCCATGATACTTGGCTCTGATCCTTTGTTTGCTTTATGGATATCATCAGTGCTCTGTCCTTGCCAGGGATAGCTGCAGCAGACAGACAGTAATAGAATGATCCAGTGATGAAAGAATTATGTATATGAATTTCCTTGTACATTTCTGATTGCATTGTAGGGGAGGACAATACCCCCAGAGATACATTAATTCTCCAGACGTACATGCATTCCTTCTCTGTATCCTTTGAGCTGTCTGTGCAGTAAAAGAACTTGCCCTTGAAGAGCTGAACAGCGATGACGGCGAATATAAACATGAAGAGTTTGTACACGATGAGGATATTAAAGACATTCTTCAAAGAGTTAACCACACAATCAAATACTGCCTGGGGAGAAAATCACATATTCAGTTTTCACAAGAAAAAGGAACATTGTATTTAGCATTATGAAAGGACAAGTATTTCTTAGATATATTGATTGCGTACTTATATGGTCAGCTGTACGTATTAAAGTGACCCTGTCACTACTGTGAAGACATTAGAGCAGAATAACCTTATAAAAGAAGAGGAGTACTCATCTCTCCGGGATGTGGTAAGGGAACTCTTTGCTCTTTTTATGAGCTTTGACTATCACTGCCATCCAACACTCCTGGGTATAACACATAGTAACCCCCCACCACCACTGCTGCGTGATGTAATTCCCTTGCCAACCCCTATGTCTCTACTATGTTGTGCTCCAACCAGCCATTTCTGGTCAAATTTAAGGCAAGCGTTGCCAAAATTGCAAATCAAGATCCAAAAATTGTGACTCCGACCAAAAAAGGGTAAGTTGGGTAATGTATACATTTTACTATCCCCTTACTTAACTATATTGCAGTGGAGTGATGCCTACCTTACTCCAATTACACAATTTTTGACACTCATTTAACATGAATCTGTGGTTTGGCCATACAGGGCAAAGTAACAGGTTCACTTTAAAGCAGACCTGCACAGACTGATATCTGAATGGGCAAAGCACAGGTTCACTTAAGGACTTTCTACAAGTTGCATTTATATACTACCTCAGTATAAACTTTATTTTCACCATTTACAGATCCAAAGAGCAAGAATTACAAGATATAAGCCCTGCTTATATATTTTCCCATGCTGTGATTAAAGTATCTGGGTTTACAGATCAAGAACAATTACTACAACAGATATATCCCAGTAAAGCATTCCTATTTAAAGTCATTTATCCTAGCACACAAGCAGAGCCCTGGCTTTAAATTTCAAGACTTTGGTGTGGTGCCTCAAATCCCTTTCTGACAGTATGTTTTGCTTGTTACCTTCAGCTTGGGGAGACGTTTGATGGTTTTCAGCGGACGAAGCACCCTCAGCACACGTAGAGACTTAATGGTTTTGATGTCTCGGCCTTTGTTAGTCCTAAGAGATGCACCACAAGTAAATTACAAATAAAACAAAGAAGAGAATGGATTAACTTTCCCATTCACATTATATATCCAAACAAGATGACTGCCAGAAACATCTATATCAGACACAGAGCAAGGAAATGCCTGAGTGTCCCCAGTGCAATAGAGAGTCCAGAAAGTGTGAACACCACAATTATAATGACATAGAATAGGCTTTGTTCTAAATTCCATGACTTCAAATATTCAGACACGCTAGATGACCATTGTTCAGTCCTGCCAAAATCATCAGGCAGCAGTAGCGTTTGAGGTGCCAAGGAGGGCACCAGCAAACTCAGTAGACATTGTAGAAAATGTATATATAAAAGATTTTTTCTTTCCTAACAAGCTCTATTGCAGGGCTGTCCAACTTCAGGGCTCAAGGGCTGTGCTCAGGCCAGAATTTTGTGAAAGGCATATTTAAATTATATAGAAAATTAGGTTTACACACAGATTCCTCAAAGAACAAAATCAAACAGGCAATTGTTCATCAACTTCCAGATTAAACTACCACCAAATCCAAAGCAAAATTTTAATCCAACAATGCTGACAATTGAACTCCAGCACATGCACATTTAATATGGGTTTCAAATATTTTACTACCATTTAAAAATGTTTGTGAGCAATAATGAGCACTTCTGATTTATTCATGTGTTAATCTCCACATTGACTTATCAGAACTAATGATCAGATAGTTGAAATTACTTACAAATATCCATCATACTTAAAGCTGAACTCCAGGTAGATAAGAGAAGAACAGCAATTAATGCAGTTATGTGTTTATTAAAACTAAAGTTTATTTTGAATGCAACTAGTGTAAGTACCAAAACTTGATTTGAATTTAGCCACTTGTAATGCCCTGTGCAGGCGCACTTAGGCTGGGAGATGGAGGGGAAGCACTAGGAGTCAATCAGGTAAGTTGCATGAGCAAGAGCTGACAAGCAACATGTTGATAGGACAAGAGAGCAGTTTGTGCACAGCAGTGAACTGCTGCTGCTCCTTCACTGTTCATCTTCACCGGTTAGGGGCAGAGAGGTGACCTACTGTTATCGCTTAATCGCAGCAGAGAAAGGTTAGGTCACCAGGCTCACTAGGCCAGGCTGTCTAAATCTCACAACTGGATGGTTAATGTTAGAATGAAGTATTAAATTACATATACATTGAAATAGCTGTAGATACTTGGAACAGTCTTCCAGTAACCGCAGTGAATCAATTAACAGTTTTTTAAATTAAAGCAGACTCTGTGCAAACCAAATATTAACCATTGGAGTGGGGCTACCCCCACTTAACCCTGCAAGGGTTAGGATTTTCTTTGCCCAGAGTCTGCTTTAAACATATTAGAGATAAACATAAAAAAAAAAGGGCAGACTCAAAGGATCACCTTTTCTGCCATCACTCTTCTGTGCTTCCATGCTTCCATGACACAATGTACAAACATTTTTAGCAAGTAAAAAGCTCCCATACTGTATACTGTATGTATTTCAACGGTTCAGTTAAATGTTTGCCTGGAGTTCAACTTTAATTCCTTATTATTTGTGGTAAATGAAGTCCTGGTATGGCCTGAATTATTAAAAACAAATTATTATTCTGATTTTAAACAATAATTTCCTTTTGTATGGTTCATTTTTGTTATGATGGACCTTGAGAACATAATTGGACAGCCTAGGCCTATTGTTTCCTTGAGATAAGAGTGGCACTGAGGTTGTCTCTGCAAGGACTAACAGACCTGTAGGATATAAATATCCATATCTATGGACTTCTTGGCATGAAAAGTATCATTAGTCACTGAAATGGTTTCCAAACGTACAGCCGTTGTTAAGCATCCATAGGTACCACTAAACAAGGTGGGTGTGTGTTTTCAAGGATTACAGTCACATAACAAGGACACAAAAACAATATAATGTGCATGACATGTTGACAATACAAAACCGCACAACAGCTTCTTCACAAGACAAGCTTATATTTACCCCAAAATATTCCTGTGTTTATCCAATAAATAAGGATGATAGATGGGAATAGAAAACGAAAGAAGGCAGCAGATAAGAATAGTTTTGGCATAAAGTGGGAAAATGCCAGGAAGGCAAAGAAATTACAAGAATAGAAAATATAGAAGAAAAGGAAGGTGTTCTTATACTTACGCCAAAGCAAAAGCTATTAAAGCGCCCACCACAACTACAAAATCCAAGATATTCCATAGGTCACGGAAGTATGAACCGTCATGTAAGATTAAACCCTGGTCGATCATCTGTGAACAATAGAAAGAATGCCAAGACTGTGTTCATCTATGATGGCTACTCACCACTTGAGTCAGAAATGAAGATTACATTTGGTTAAAATTATTCCAGGATTGCATTTTTGTTTCCAATTGTTTGTGTTTTCATTTCACAAAACATTTGTGAATAAACTATGAACAAGTTATTAGAAATCGGAAAAAAGTGGATTTTCTAAAACTTTTGAGTGGTAGTGTATATAGTTTAAGATGTAAGGTATAACAGTTTAGTGCAGATGCACTGTAACTTCTGCATGTATTTAAGGAATTTACGCCATCAGTGGCCAACCAATGGCTGAAGAAAAAATGATGCTGGACCCAGAAAGAGACCAGGAGAAAAAGGTAGCGTTGGCAATGGAGCAAAGAGAAGGCAAGCAGACCTCAATCACTGGAGGAAAGCACACTAGGAGGTAAGTCTGCCATACTTGCACATCTGGGGACACCATGTAGATACAGTTCTACTTTAACTCTGTATGACAAAGGGCAGGCCTGCAAAGGTGACCTGAAATCATGGGTTAAAGAAATGTGGAACTCCAGCCTAAATTTTGTGTTTGGAAAAGAGTGGAGAGGGAATGGACCTTCTGTCAGGTTTGTTAGTGCTCTATGTGTCCCTGTTTTTATTTGTTTGACATGACAGTGACAGCAGACAAAGAGTGCAAATCTCTCTTAATTTTACACAAAAAAAGTGTTTTAGTTGGAGATAACTACTTTAATGAGGACAGATCTATCACAGAGGCACCGTTCTGCATAAACAATGGCTAAACGTACCTTTATTACCATCTCAAAGGTGAAAACACCAGTGAAAACATAGTCAAAGTAGCGAAGAACCTGTTAAAAGACAGTCCAAAATGTAAAGATTCAATGTGATTTTGCAGTAGATAGACATAGCTTATAATGATTTGGGTTCATAGAAAAAGTGTTGCATAGTTAAAGGCAAAAGGTAAAGAAAAAAAAAGAAGCAAATGCAATAATTGTCAATTCATAAATAAAATCACGTAAGGTGGGTACATGTTTTTGAGTGTAAAATGTATAACTCACTTTGTTGTGGTCAGAGTTGGTCAACACTGGGTCCTCAGCTGCTAGGGCGATACTACTAGCAGCAATCACTAGAAGGATGCTCATTTCAAAATATCGTAGATTCACAATGTAATGGCACACTTTCCTTACCCTATGAATAAAAAATATCAGATAACAAGACCACTAGTTCATGGAAATCCTTATCCTACTTCACAACCAACACCATATTTCTATTCTGGGAAAGGGAATAAAGAGTTTAAAAGATAATTTTCTCAAAGCAAAATGTCTGCAAAAAAAGCCTCGATGCTCTGATGACTGTTCTTTAAAGTAGTTCCAGGCAAATATTGAGTAAAGCTAAAGAGGTCCAGCTTCACTCACTCAGAACTAGTATTTGTTTTTCTGGTTAAAGAATGTGCCAATGTGAAGGTATATAACAGCAATATGTAAAGGTTTGCACGTTTAGAGCACAGGTAGCACCCAACATAAATCTAATTTAGGATTTGTTTAAATAACTTTTATGGAACTTCAGAGCACTGCAAAATAATGTAACTAGCAAAGGATATCCCACTGATATAATTAATCTAATGAAGTTGTTTCTCTCCCCTAAAAATGATTGTGTACAAAATACACCATCCTGCAAAGCCTCTTACAGTGTCCTTCAAAGCTGGGAAAAAAATTATTTTATAAAGTGGGTCCAGCAGATGTTGTAGTGTAGGTTATGCTGGAAGACTGTTTCAGCAACACTAGGAAGCATATCACTGGCACACCACCAGAAGAACCTATTTGCATTTCTTGTCCCAAGGTATTACCAAATACTCACAGGGATAGCAGCTTAGAATCAAAGACAGAATTTTAGAGATGTCACCAGCACACCGTTATGACTTGTGCAAACAGCAAACATCCATTTATTGACAAGTATTTACATTCATGTGCAAGCGCTTTCGGGGGCGCGCACGGTCCCCTTCATCAGGCTCAGAATGCTGATTGCACAAGTCATAACAGTGTGCTGATGACATTGCTAAAATTCTGTATCTTGTTTGCACCATCCATGGTCACTTCGAGCACCTGCCTGCATTTTGCATGGGAATGGATCCGGTAAGTAGTGCAGAAAGGCATCTTTTCTTTAAAATCAAAGACAGTCCCTCAAGCCACCTGGGTCAAAATAGTACTTTCAGTGCTGGGATCCTGACACTGATATCTTTCACTGCAGGAAAGTTCTATCATTGACACCGAGGATCCTAATGCAGGAGAGGTATGTATGCAAACACGCTTACAAGTTTACTTTAGGGAAGCTTAGTGTTGGGGTTACAGGAAGGTTTAATTTGATGGGGCCTGATGCTACTCGTGCTAAAAGCTAGTGTATTGATCTTGGTTGCCACATTTTTCTGTTTCTTCCTAGGTGTTGATTTCATCTAACACAAACAGACAACATCCTAATGGGGCAGAAGACAGACTCATGTAAATACTAGACTCTCATTTCCATAATCTAGAACACATACGCAAGCCATACAGCCAGGAACATTCTAAATATACCTGCACGTTGTAAAGAAAGATACTGTTCACGATGACTGTCAAATGTAGAAGTTGGTGACATTAAAAATCAGAAATAGAATAGAATACACAGACTTACGGATTGGCAGAAGTGAAGATAAGCATTGAACTGTATGGCACAATAGCTTTTGGAGACTCTAGCACTTTTCCTTTCCTTTTCATAGCTTGCTCTTCTAAATCGTCAGCCTCTTCCTCATCCTTCTCTTGCTCCTGAGATACAAGACTGATCTCTCCATCTCTTCCTTCAGTCACTAGAACCCGACCAAAAATTTAGAGTAAACTGCTTAGAGTTGTAACATAGAAAAATACACCACTGAATGGAAACACAATAAAAGTGTATTTGATAGTAAAAAAAGAAGTAAAAGCAATAGCAGTGAAAGCACATAGGGAAATACAGAGAGCGAGAAGAGTCCTCACTCTGTACCACGGTGCAGTCGGAAGCCATTCCAGCATCAGGTAAGGTGATCACTGTACTCTCTGTGATTCGCTCTGTGCTGCTGGAGACATCAGCCAAACTGCAACTGGTTGGATTAGGACTTTCCTCTTGACTCCTCATGCTGCCCAGCAAGGCCTGCTCACTGTAATCCATGTCTGGGGGACTGCCATTCTTCCCATGGCTCATTTCCTGCAAGGGAGCAGTGTTGGGAATGGGACCCTCACATCCCATTGTGCTGTCATTCCTGTCTCACCAAAACAACAGTGTGAGGGGGAAAGAGAGAAAAAACTAATGAGATAACTGCTGCAGGAAGTAAAAGAGAGACACAGCAATATGTAAGTTGGAAGTACAAAACAGGGAACACTAGCAAAGGACACAAGTGTATATAACTTTGTAGTCAGGTCTTCGTAGTTAGGCTTTTAGTTGCTAACACTTCATAAGAGGGTGTCTATCACTACTGCTATATTTCCTAATGTTGGGTAGTAATCGTTATCATAGTGGCAGAACAAATTCTGCATTCTGGCTTCATCACACTCAGTAAAAGTGCCTCCCAACATAAGATAGGTTTGTGAGCATCTTACTATCACACATGTATGAACTTGTTGAACATCCCACATTTAACACCAAAGGTATTAATATGGTGTTGCCCTCCACCATGCAGCTTTAACAGTCTCTAGTCTTGTGGAAAGACTTTTCATAAGGGTTCATAGTGTGTCTATGGGAATGTGTGCCTATTAAGAAAAAAAAGCATTTGTAAGGCCAGGTGCTTATGTTGGATCAGAAAACCTGGTTTGCAACTTGTGTTTCAATTCATAGGTTGAGGTCAGGGCTCTATGTTCTACCAAAATGTCTTTATGTACCCTTCTTTGTATACAGGGTACAGTCATGCTAGAACAGAAAAGGGCCTTTTTTACACTGTGGAGGTTGGAAGCACATACCGTGTTTCCCCGAAAATAAGACACTGTCTTATATTTTTTTTCCCCCAAAAAAACACACTATGTTTTACTTTGGGGGGATGTCTTATTTTTGTTTTAATGTCAGAAGTTCCCTCAGTGACTGAGGCTCAGTCACCTCATCTCACCTCACTCCGACCCCACTGGCCATGCCGCACTGTGCCGCTGCCTGCTGGTTAATGTAGTTTTCTGCCCTGCGGCAGCTTTCTAAGCAAAAGCAGAGGCAGACAGGTGTCTGCTGATTTCGGGACATGGGCGGCATGCAGCAGCTGCGGTCAGTCCCCGCTGTGTACTCTGGTTGCTCTCTGGCGGCCCCACCCCCAAATGACAGAATACCCAGGGCCCTGGCTGCGCCCCCTCCCATCCTCGCCTAGCCCTTCCTACGGCCCTGCCAGCTGTGCAGACAGTGGACACTGCAGTAAAGTACATGCTACAGTACCACCGAACTAGGTCTTATTTTTGGGGTATGTCTTATATTACAGTAATCTCTAAAGATAGTGCTAGGTCTTACTTTCGGTGTAGGTCTTATTTTCGGGGAAACACAGTAATTATCTACTGTGAAATGCTGTACATATGCTGTAGCATCAACAGTACCTGTCACTGTAAACACTGGAACCTTATAATTTAGAGAATGTGATGGCCAGGTGTCCACAAACATTTGTGGACTTTTCACACTGGAATATATTAAGTGTTCTATCTTGTTTTTACTATTCTTGGATCATAAACATGATTACTATATACCATTAGTGTCACGCTTCCTGATTAATTCCCCATATTGTGGCAGCCTAACAGGGTCTGTGTCTAAGTGACAACTTGTTTAAAGGAAACCTGTCCTGAGAGAAATACTATGGCTGACCTATACTTCAGAGAATGCTAGGTGATCCAGTGGGTTCAACACTCTATAAAGTCACTAACCTGGATCAGTTATACAGATCAGGAGATCTAAAGGCTATTTTATTTCACTGTCTGGGTCAGTGACCAAAACTAAAACCAGAGGGAGTGAGACAACTAGCGTTTTTTTAGGAGAGGCCAGTGATGGCAGCCTACATACATCTCTCAGCACAGGTTTCCGTTAAGGGTTTGTGGGAAGAGGCATTGACACAAACAACTGTAGGCAAAATCTTACTAATGGATTACCTTACAGAGATATCAGAAGTCATTCAACCCATTTGAGCCCACCAAAAACAAAAAATGTTGGTTAAACTTTAAACATTAATGGTTGTAATGTCTGGTATTTTATATATCTGCACAACTGTTCTTTATATTCTGCATATACAGTGAAAAGAAACAACTTATGTAACAGCTGGTTAAACTAAGCATTACCTAAATTTAGGATTTCCTATTGTCATGAGATAGGAAAGAAAAATATGTTTTTAAATAATTTACAGATCCAATTAAAAAGGTAGGTGTAAGCTTGTAACAACAATTTTAAGCCGAGTTAAGTCTGGAAATGTTTCCAAACATAAGCGGATCATAGATGAAGCTTGGATGCATAGATATGAAATAACTGACAAAGCAGTTACTGATTATCTTCACATCTATGCTACACCTATGATCTGCTTATGTTTGGAAGAAATATAATCAGCGCTGTACATACATTTGCAGCAACACAAGGCTTAAGTACCTATCTTCACAGTATTTGAGACAACTCGAAGGTGGCTCCTCCTCAGTTATCCTCACTTCCTTGGCTTCACCATTCATTTTCTCCTCTTTGGGTGTTTTACCATGCTCAGTGGTCTCTCTGTCAAGTCCTCCTTCCTGACTGGCTGAGGTGCTATTTGGATTGCTGGATGTCTCTTTCCCTTCAGTCCTAACTTTTCTGTGCCGACTTCGTCTTTGGCTTTGCCTCCTGCGTACAGACTCCTCAAGTGTTGTGCCATTGGGGTCTGTATTTTCAGCTTTGACATGTCTAGACTTCTGCCGCCAGTGTTCCCTGAGGTTTTGATGAGTGGGGCTTTCTTCTCCATCCTTTGGACCATCTGTTCCCGGCTTTTCTTCTTCCGGTCCTTCTACTTTTTCAGCAGTTGACTCTTCTGCTTGCTTTGTCTTGCGATATATACTTGAGTGAGGATTCAGAGCTGCTAGTTCTTCATTCTGTAGAGCTTCCTTACTAGACATCTGTATATGTCTCCTTAGTTGACTTGTGCGCTGCTCCCAGATGGACATGGTATGCCGCTTTCGGCGATCATTCCTAGAAAAAGAGACCAAATAGCAAACAAATCACTGTAGTAGACTTCCATAGCCTATTATTACACCATAACAATTGTAATGGCCAACATCTGTCCTAGGTTATCAGAAAAGGAGAAAACTCATGTCACAGATTTAATGGCTACTACCGAGAGTAACCACTTTATTATTAATATACGTTCAACTAATGCCATCATCATTGACTGGTCATTTTCAGTAAAGGGTTAGAAACCTTGTCAGGTTTTTACTGCCTTCTGGGGTTTCCCTACATAGATTTATCCTTACTTCCTGTCCTGCTAATGTGTTACCGGGCAGACATTGAGGAGAAAACTCCAACCACAGTGCAGACTGAAATAAAAATGCGTTTCTTTATAAGGGTAAGAAAAGTCCAGACCCCCTTTTCAGCCAACAATCAGCCCAATCACAGTGAGAAATGGGAAGGAATAAGAAAGGAGAACTGAAGAAAGGAAGGGATCGGCAGCAGCAGATTCAAGGTTTTAAAGTGCCACTGACCACCAATGATTATGTAGGGGTTTTTGTTAACCCTTTTGCTGCCAAAGCGGTTTTTGTGTTTTTTGGACACAAGCTAAAATGCGCATTTTAGGCTTGAAGAATTATATATTTCCTGAAAACAGAGACCCTGTAGAATAAAATGGTGGTTGTTGCTATTTTTTATGTTGCATAATATTAATGCAACTGTTTATCAAGCCAAAATGTTAGTAAAACATACATTTATGGTAATCTTGGTGTGCATAAATACACAATAATACACAATTTGTTTGAAAGATATAACAGTTGGGGTTGTGCTGAATAAATAGACACCAAACATGTCAAGCTTCAAAATTGCTAGCACCTGTGATTTGGGGAAAAACTATGGCTCCCAAAATTGTCCTTTGGAGACTTTTACAGAACATTAGTTTAGAGTTAACCATGAATAATGGCCCTAAAATTTTTGCTCCCACTTCGGCATGCACTGCAATACCTAATGTGTGTCTATTTCATACACAGGTGCATCCTACATGTGTTTGTGTTAGTATGTGCGTGTACGTTAGGGTGAGGGACTTAAATAAAGTTTATTTATTTTATTTATTTAACTTTATTTTTGTAAACTTTTTTGTACCTAATTTTTTGCTATCACATAAAGGTGAGAAATTCTCTTTAAGGAGACATTAGGAACCTATTAGACCTCTAATGTCACCTTTCCACTTCAATAAAGCTGATCAAGCACAATCTGTACTTCTATCCTGGCCTCTGTGTCTGGGGAATGACAGCTCAAAATCATCATCACTTCCAAGAACACACAGCAGGGAGGAGATCAGCGTTCCATGTTCACTGATCTCTCTCCCCTCTCTCAGCCGACACACGCCATGATGGTTCTGTCCAGCTGGAGGGCCAGTGAAGCCCAGAATGCATGGTGAATACCACCAAAAAATTTAAAAATGATATAAAATGAATTTAGGTCAAGCTATCACTGAAAACTGAAAAATGGGCTGTCATTAGATAAAATAACAACTAATGAGATAAAATAATAATTCACAAGGAAATAGAAGTTTTCAGTATTTGAATGTTCACTTCACACAAGAAAATAATTTCACACCATTGCGATATTTTTTTGGACTGATCAGGATGTGAAAATTATCACAAGATAAAATTAGTTACTCATGTCAAATAACATATGCACATAAATTAATTTGATTATGCAAATTGACTGCCTGAGGTCTCCCTTACCTGTTCTTTGTATTCCAGTGAAGACACTCCTAGGGTACTTCACATGCTGACCAGAACCTCCAGATCTGTTATAATGAGGCCCAAAATGGACCAGCAAAAGTTGTGTGACCAGGCACCACTCTGCTAATGCCTTTATGAAATATATTAAAAAACCTTCTACACATCTAGGAATTGTCCTTTTGTAAGTTTTAATTGTTTTACAAATCCTTTACCCTCTGGGCAGGTGCGTCCCGAGGCCGGGTGTCACTTTGCGCGATATTGTCATCGCGCATGCGTGGCCATCTGATTGACGCCTGTCTGTGGCCATCTTGGTGATGGACGCCGGCAGAGAGAGGAGGGGACGCCTCTCCCCCGCCCCTTCCCTCCTGTTGCCGGGGGCGGCGGACGTAGCGTGGGTGTCGGGACACGTTCACCCGGCGGGATGAGGTATGCTGCCGGGTCTCCTCCTCTCTCCTGACACTGTCGGGCTCTCGGTCCATGACCGAGTGCCCGAGTTTTTAGAGTGGGTGACACCAAAGTGACTGTCAGCCATTTTGTTGTTACCCCTGCAAGGGAATGTCTACTACCCCTCCCAGGGGTTTCATCAAAACTGAACTTCAGGCAAACAGCTGAATACACAAATGAAATACACAAAAGGGAGCTGTTTTACCAAAGGATTTGTATTGCTGCCCACCCATTATTGAGATTTATGCAGCTCTGCCACATAGCAGAGCCCTGTCTGGCACAGTAGGGGACCTGCTCCTTCTCTGCTTCAGTTTAACTTACAGGTCACCTACCCACTCTCACCTAGGGATAGGGCAGTGGAAAAGGAAGCAGCACACTGATGAGCTCATCTCTTTGTTACTCTGCTCTCCCCTCCTTTCAGAATGTGAGCACATGAGTCAACACAACTGAATGGAACCTTGTATTTCATCTCCCTCTCCCATTCTGATCACTGCTGTACAGGGATTGCAAGAGGCTAATACCAGGTCTGATTCAGGCACTTACACTGCCAGCATTTACAAATACATTTAGGATGTATTAATAATTAAAGAGCAGAATCAATGTGTGCCTTTTATATTTGCCTGGAGTTGAGCTGTAAAACTGTGCAATCCTGTATAGTGTACAGTCCCTAGTTCCCAAATTGCATTTTGGCCTCTCTGAGTATGTCCAAAATACTTATCCGGCAACTTCAAGTGTTACTGTAACCACATCCCACCATATTTGCACTTATGTAGTGCGTAGCTTAAATCTTATAGGTAAGGAAATCTTGGTGGAAAAGGTATTGACTTATTACAGAATAATGATTTGTTTCACTAGATACTTACATACAGAATAAATAGAGTAAATATCACAGATAGGTCCTTGAATCAGAATTTTAGAGTACTGTATACACATTTATAACAAGAACAATCTACCAATTGCTGGTGACTTGTTAAATTGCAATTAATGACACTATACATTATGTTATTTTCTTAATGTCTAGGTAATGCATGCTGTCAAAGTGGTAATTACTAATGTTACTGATACGGCTCTGTGTCATTATATGACTCATCATGCAAAACAAATACTTTCGAACACTCATTGCAGTGCATTCACTTCAGTGGGGGAAAACCCATGGAATTCTCTGTTATTCCACAAGAGAGTAAACAGATTAATGGGGAATTTTTAGTTTGCATTGTCATATTATATTTTGTATTTGATGGCAAAATGTCAGAGGCCCCACCACAGCATTATCATGACTGACGCATCCGTTTTTTTCAATATTTGTTTCCTGATTCAGACCTGCTTAGTATTGACCTGAGCTGATCCCAAAATGTGGATGACGTTAGATTTGGATGAAATTTTATGGATTGGAATGTCCAGAGCCAAATCAAATGTCAATGTTCTTTTTGGCAGGTTGGATTCCAAAAGGCTTCTGGAAGAAAGGGACCAAATGATGCTTCAAATGCTGTCTTTGCCTTATATCTGCTTCTGCTGATGCCTGGGCACCCGTAGCTTGACTGCCATTGCCACCAGATCCCACCCTTGTACCTTTTTATTCCTAGTAGCACTAGTAAATAAACTGGCTCGGGCTATTTTTGGTCCAATCATCTAATCAGACAGGGCTGCCGGGAGATTCCCAAACCATTCCACACACATTTTCTACCATTAGCTGCTTTATGATACACACTTTTGGAAACCTGGCTCTGATTCCTGTTGACTTCACCGGGGCATTTGATTTGGAAATTTTGAAGTTTCTAAATGTTTTTGGTTTTTTTTTTTTAAATCAGAACAGCCCCAACTGATCCAACTTTTCAAAGGTTTGCTCATCTCTAATGATCATGTGCTAGGGGTCCCACACAAGTTGTAATTTCACAATTCCTCAACAAGTGTATGTTAAAATACACCCATAACATATTTTAAATGCTCATATAACTGTTGTTGCAATAAATTGTCTGGCAACAGGGCCTCTTTAATGGACAATAGTACAGATAACGATAATGATAGTAGACAAGGAACCAGAGACTTATATAATTTAAAGACACATTTTGGGCACCAGAAAAAAATACTCTTACAGTGGGGCCTCCCCGTAATGCAAGGGTTAAATGCTTATAAAGTCTAGGGGTATAGGAATAAGCTGTTACACTTTACCTTTTATCTTGCTCCAGAAGGCTTCCTCCATGCTGTGCTACTGGTCCCCTAAAGCCTTTTTCTAACCACTCCAGCCAGCGGTCCCACTCTGATGTCATCACAAACAACAAAGGACCAATAGCCCTGCATTATACGTGAGGACAGTGGGGCTCACAAGCTGGAGCATCAGAGAGAAAGAGATGAGCACTAGAATTCTGCCAGACAGAAGAATAAGGTAAGAAATATAACTTATTCCACCCCTCTAGACTTAATAGGCATTTACCCCTTGCAGTCTAGGGAGCCCCACTACAAGGGTATTTTTTTTAATCCCGGAGTTCAGCTTCAAGCTTTATGTAACATGTGGATGGTCAAACTCAGATATGCCAACATACAAAGTAATATGCCTTTCATCAAATCTAAAGTATAACATACTTTTTTATTATAATGTCATGATGAGGCCAAACGAAACGTGTGCTGAAAAAAATGTGTCAGCTGCTACTGCTGACCTGTCCATCTAAAAATGCAAGTGGCTTGGCTCTTCTGATGCTTCAGTGAGTCAGGGACCCTGCAGACTAGGAGTTGTAACCTCACCCTGACTGTCTGGCAATGAGCATTCATAGGAGGAGCCCAGCAAGGACGGCCTACTTATTTTTCCAGGTACACATTTCCTTTAATATGAAATAATAGTTTTACTGTCTTCAGAATTTATGTTTTTTTTTTAACAATTAAATAACATGTAGGACAATATCACTATTTATACTAAAAAAGAACACAGAAGACAACATGCAGTTTGTAGCTGACTCACTCAACAGATGATGCATTAGGTGCAGACATAGGGCTGACCTCCTTGGCTTTTTGAAGGGCATGCTTCTGGTTAAATGCTTCCTCTGCTTCCTGTTCATCCTAGAGATAACGAAATCAGAAGTCATCAGATGTTTTCTAAGCAAACCTGTCATCTGCTTTTGCTTGGCACGCTGACCTCTTCCCTTCAGGATTATGGGATCTATGGCATGCCAGATATTATTTTCAGCTTCAGGTTCCTCCCCTCCTGGTGGCACTGCTGACTACTGAAAAATGACTAGTAATTCTGGGCAAAGGATGAGCAGGCATGTTCCTTACTATCTCACCAAAGATCACTCAGAGCCTAAGCGACTTACTGTTACAGGGAAGGGGGGGGGGGGTTTGGGGGTGGCTAAACATATACAAATACAGACATTCAGAAAGTTTCTATTTGCATAAAACTTTTACAGTCTTCATTGGTGCCCACTCTTTGAAGGAAAGGGCCAGTTTAGGCACACAACACAGCAAAGGCATCTTACAATGAACTTGTGCTCACAATGTTCTTTTTTCTTCTTGCCTACTAAATGTAAAAAAATAGGAGCAACATAAAAAAAAAAAAAAGTTTCTATAGTTGCTCAGACACATCACATGCTGGAACACTGACAAGGCAAAACGGCCACAAATCGCTTCAGTATGTACAGCTAGCCTTACAAATACACATATATAAAGACGTGAAATTGTATGTAGAAATGGGAAAAATATTCGATCAAGATCTTCCTTTTATTTCCAGTCTGCACCATAAAAATAAGATCTGGATTTGATTAGTTCCTGTTGGCAACTCCAGTAATTTTAATACTTGTAGGTTTTATAGAAGCGCACCTGCAACATGTTAAGAAACTATATGTGATGTACTTATTAGTAATTTCATAAAGATATACTGTATAGACACAATGGTGGATTAACAAAGGGAAATGCATCATTTTTTAGTGTATACATCGGGTCATTTTCCGTGCGCCAAATCAACAATGCCATTACACAAGTTCTATGTTTTGGGACGCCAGCCACCTCAAATCACATTATAAGTTCTTTGCTGAAGTTCCTATTTAAAGGTTTACTAAACCCTCCCGTTTTTTTACTAGCAAGCAGTAGATATATGCAAAAACTTAAAAAAAACTCCTTTTGAAATAGGTTTAAGCTTACCTGTGCCTTCGCGACGCGCTCCCGTCCGAACATCTGAAGAGTCTCGGGCGGCCGCAAAGGATATTGGGGCAGGCGCATGCGCACTTCAGATGTTCGGCCAGGGGACGAGGAGAGACACAAGGAGAGAGACACAGGTTGTCCAGGACAGCTTTAGTCACAAGGCAATGACAAGCTGACAGTGGATATAGCTGTCCACCGGTGTTTGGATGCAATCACACATGAAGCGATCATCTGAGGTTAGGGACAGAAGATCGCCCCTAGATGCAAAGAGCTTGTGTCCAGGAGCGATCATCTTTCCCTAACCACAGAAAATTGTTTCATGTGCAATTAAATCTGAATACTGGTAGACAGCTGCGGCTGCTGTCAGCCTGCAAATGCTTTTTACAGGATGAGCGACTGTCCGGAGCCACCTGTGATTTCTGCCCAAAGAATCCGCAGTCAGAACTCTTTTCCCCATGTGAAAGGGACCTTAACAAACTGAAGTAATCCTCACATAGCTAGTTTAACACTTTCTTACCTTAGTTAGCTCCTGAGCATTGGCCAGATTGTCCACAGCAATGGCAAGAAATACATTCAGGAGAGTGTCTATCCAGATTAAGGTTAAGAAATATTTTAAATAAGCATAAACATTATGAATACAATGATTTATAGGAAATGTTTACATTGCTCTCTTACCAATGCATTAACAACATGGGGGATATTTATCAAAACTGGTGCAGACAGAACGTGGATCAGTTGACCATAGTAACCAATCAGCTTATCTCTACAGTTTATTCAGTTAAGTTTTGAAAATTAAAGATTAAAGCTAATTTGTTACTATAGATAACTGCTCCAGATTCTGTCTGCTCCACTATTGATAAATTCCCCTCCATGTGTCTTAATTTGTAAACTCATCCTCAGTTATTAAGTGAACATGCAGCTGAAATGGAAGCAGGAAGCATTCTTGGCATATAGGCAGCCCGGTCCTGATAAATGACATACTGTATGTATTACTTTGTATGCATTATAAGTAAATACAAACACATTCCTTAATTAAAAGGAGAGAAATATTGCTCTGGTTTATGAAAGGTGTACATGTGCATGTTAATATCTGACTGCATAGGAATAACATTTATCAACATTATGCATGGTTTTAGTTGATTTAAAGAACAATGGTCATTGTGGTCATGGTGACAGCGCTGCAGTGGCTGCAACTGTGATCTTGGCATCGTTTTTTTAAAGCAGGTGGAGGGCTTCAATGTACAAGCGATTCGGTCACTTGTACCGACTTGTGAAAGCACCCCCTCACCCCCCCACTGCAGCACCCATCGTGGTTTTCAGGCTTTTCCGCTCTTCTGGAGGGTGTGGGACTGTGGAATGTCAATTCCCTGATCACTAAGACAGGAAGTCCTGTGCTCTCAGCGCTTTCTTCTTCAAAGCTGTCACAAGCCCAGCTAATATGCTGGGCTAAACAGGTGATTAAAGGAGAACTATGGGGTTAAGGCTTTTCCCCATAGTTCTCCTTAGGGTAACGGGAGGACACAAACTAGCGTCCTCTCGTCACCTTAAGCTCAGCTACTGCTCGCGGTATACTGAGACGCCGCAGCTGAAGCGGTTCCCATCAATTATGTCTGGATCTGCCCAGCTGCGTGAGTGACAGCTGGCTCTGCCTATCTAGAGGCAGAGCCAGCTGTACCCGCCCCCTCCCCTGTCCGATCCGCCAGTCAGCGCTGGTGGATCGTCGCGGGGAGGGGGGAAAAAATAACAATGTTAAAAAAGTAAAGAATTATAAAATATATACAAATTAACCAAATTTAAAAAAAATTGAAAAGCAACCTTGCCACCCCCTGCCATCTTCATGTGCATGCAAACACATGTGCACGTGTGCATAAACAGTAATTATTGTACCACAGATGTTAGGTATTGCCATGAACGTCAGAGTAAGAGCAATAATTCTAGGGCCATAATTCATGGAAAATGCTAAACTGATGAGAAATAAAGGCTCTAAAGCATCGCCTATGGACAATTTTAAGTACCAAAGTTTTTCACTATTACACGGGTGCACACAGTTTTAAAGCTTGACATGTTTGGTATCTATTTACCGAACAGTATTTTTTAATATTTTACAAAACAAAAAGGGGATTATATTGTGTTTGGGTGCACTAAAATACAGTTTAGAGTATTTATTTTCCCTAAAGATATTGATTTGCTCAAATATCATGCAATATTTATTCTACAGAGCCTCTGCTTTCAGAAAAGTAATTTTCAAGGAGTTTAAAGTGATTTTCTATCCAAAAATTCAGAAATGGTTAAACAAGCTTGACAGCATTACAGTATCTGAAAAGATGTGCTGCAACACCAGATTATACCAGCAGGTGTTACTGCAGGCAAAAGTTGTAGCTCTCTAGGAAATTCTGGAGTCAATGCACTAAAATATAATGCATTCAGTATTTTCACTGCTCTGCATTTTATGGTAATTTCAATTATTAAAAATGTAATTTATTCAAAGTTTTATCACAGATCAGCTGTTTTTTTATATCAACATTGGTAGGTCATGAGAGAAATATAAGAGAGGCCATTGAAACCTTTTTCTAAAAATGCTCATTTGTCAGTAACTCAAAATACTGAAGACGAGGATTATCGTAACATCCAGAAAGAGGAGTCAGCAGTGACAGCTGCCATAAGTGCTATAATAAATTTAAAATATTAAAGGCTTCTGGCAGGTGTAAATTGTAAGGTTCTATGACATGTCTATGAAAAAGATCAGATAATCAGTCTATCATGAATTCTGCTGCCAGACTCATCCACCTCACCAACCGTTCAGCATCCGCCGCCCCTCTCTGCCAATCTCTCCACTGGCTCCCACTTGCCCAATGAATACAATTTAAAATACTAACAATAACATACAAAGCCATCTACAACTCTGCCCCAAACTGCATCACCAACCTCTTCTCAAAATATCACCCAAACCGTCCCCTCTGCTCCTCCCAAGATTTCCTTCTCTCTACCTCGTTACCTCCTCCCTTGCTAACCTCCAAGACATCTCCAGAGTCTCTTCCATTCTCTGGAACTCCCTAAAACAATCTGTCTGCTTATCTCCTACTCTGGCAAACTTTAGGCAATCCTTGAAAACTCATCTCTTCATGGAAGCCTATCCCACCTCCACATAATAACTGTCCTTTTACTTCTTTCCTCAGCTAATCCCACACAATTATTACCTTTTGTATCATTTGCCCCTCCAACTAGATTGTAAGCTCTAACAAGCAGGGCTTTCTAACCCTCCTGTATTGAAATTGTACTGTCTCCCTCCATTTTGTAAAATGCTGTGCAAACTGTTGAGGAGGAGGAAGAAGAGGAGGAGGAGGAAGGAGGAGGAAGAAGAGGAGGAGGAGGAGGAGAAGAAAAAGAAAAAATTCAAGGTGAAGAAGAGGAAGAGGAAGAGGAGGAAAAAGAGGAGGAAGAAGAAGAGGAGGAGAAACAAAATTCAAGGTGAAGAAGAGGAAGAGGAAGAGGAGGAAAAAGAGGAGGAAGAAGAAGAGGAGGAGAAACAAAATTCAAGGTGAAGAAGAGGAAGAGGAAGAGGAGGAAAAAGAGGAGGAAGAAGAAGAGGAGGAGAAACAAAATTCAAGGTGAAAATAAAACATTGACTTGAAAAAAAAAGATTAATGAGAAATAGCCTTGCAATGATTAATTATCTAATGTAAAAAAAAAACAAAAAAAACATTGCACAGTATGTAATATTTATGTATAAGAGCTGGACATTTTCTATAAGAAAAAGTTAATGATGTAAAATAAGGAGCATTGCTGAAAAAAGCTCATATTGACTCCTAAGGGAGGTGGAGGTTTTTTTGTGGTCCTTCAAGAATTTGCTACCAATGCCCCAAGTTCAGATTTGAATGTTCATTTCACTTTCACGCCTGCTTGGATAAATAGGAACAATAGTTTAAAGATCGAAATCTAGCACTAACAAATAATAGCATCTGTTAGAAGCGTCTATGTTTTCAGAAAAGGTAGAGAAGGGGGGTATAGGGGATGGTAGCCCTGGCTGCCTACACACTATGTATCCTGCAGCAACTGGCAACTTTATCTTTTATACAAGATATATAAGACACTATCACCGGCTTAAAAAATTGCACGGAAAACAATCACCTATTTTACATTCTAGCTTGCGTTTTGTTTTTCTATAAATTATTTTTATTCACTTGTAATGTGCCTTTGGACTTGCAAGAAAATTTGACCTGTTATTTCTCTAGCACAGCCCTATTCCTCCTTTGCATGTCATAGCCCTCCTCTCTTCTATGTCTAATTGCTCTTTCTACTGGCCTAGCTCCTTCACCCCCCCGCCACATAACATATTAGCTACTGTAGCTGCAAAAGGACGAATGAAGCTGAATACTATAGAATGCCACTTGAGTGACAGCTCTGGGTCTTCTGGGGCTGCTGACATCACATCCAAGATGGCGGTGCCCAGCAGGAGTCTCAGGGCTTTTGAATGTCTACACATAGGAGACTTTTACATGTAAATTACATGCATACAATATGTTAAAGAAGAACTCCAGGTTGTAGAACAAAATAACCCTTGCAGTGGGCCTAGCCCCGCACTGCAAGTGTTAACTGCAGTTTTTTCTCTAGGAGCGCAGAACGAGAACAGATACTTACCCGATCCTTGCTCCCACCTAGTTGTTAGACTGGCTGCCACAGCCTGTTTTTCCCTGGGCTCCGGAAGCTCTAAGCCCCACTGATGTAATCACATCTAATACAGTCCATTCACCAGTATTATTTGAAAGGATGCATTGGGACATACCACAGCCAGAGCGCAGGGGAGATAGGCGAGGAGTCACTGCCACAGAACCGAGGATCATGTGAGTATATGTTCTTTATTTTTGCCCCTAGAGCAGTTAACCCTTGCAATGCAGGGGTAGCTCTACTGCCAGGGTTAATTTTTCGAAAATCTGTAGTTCTTCTTTAAATGCACATAAAATCTTATGAGATTTTTTTTTCTTTGTTGGTCTGGCAACAGGAACTGTTAAGAAGTAAATTGAGGATTTGGATAACTCTGTAAATAAAGCAGAGGACCTTTTACCAGTTTTCCTTGCCTCCAATCTTTTGCACATGTGCCCTATTCATTGTGGTGATCTCTGTTCTCCCTTTTCACCTGATGCTAAAGCAGCATTGGAATGTCTCCTGCGCTTCTCTTTGCCAGACTAGAATTCAGCTTCTCTTGCTCATAGGTTTAATTCCCCACATGCAAGTCATGGGGTTTGCTTACTAGAGAAATAGAAAATGTTCACTTTCTTTCCTTTCTTGCTCATGATTGGCTTTACCATATTCACTAAGCTAAGTGAACACTCACTTTGCAAAGTAAACTTTCTCTACTGCTTTAATAAATCACCCCCACCGTGCCGTAGGCTTTTCCCACCTCTGAATTGGTTGGCATGGAGGTCTGAGCTCAAATCTTTCTTTTATGGGGCCTTCAACTGATGCCAAAGGTACTGATTATGCCCCCAAAGCATAATGAGTACCTAATTCTAACACTGAGGGTTAAAAGTGCATGGCACATATGCAGTCCTAAGGGTTCTCCGCTGCTGCAGAAGTTGCTCTGCAGTTTTTTATTTGTTTTTTTAAATAAAGCTTTAAAGAAACATCTGTAGGGAGGGCATTTAAGCTAAAACATAGTTTGGGGTTAATGTTCCATTCTAAATGGCCAAGATATGAAAAGATAGTTACCTGATTAGGCTGATTTTGGTTGTATTGGGTGTTGATCTCATGTTCATGGCAGCAACAGACACCAGACTGTTGATTATTCTTCATCAGAAGGTTTTATCAAATGGGTATGAAAATCATTTTTGATCACTATTGTTTGCTTTACTCGCCACTTCCCTAGAAATGTATGAATAGTAGAAGTCTTTTGGAGTGCGCCAGCAGACAGACATGCCTTTGACCATTTGGATCCTACCCACACAGCCCACTGCCCTCATATGTCTAGAGTCATCTAATATAAACTATATACTATATAAATGCAAAGAAAAAGGAAAGGATTACAGTAAAACAATGCAATTAGCGAATTAACTATGTTAAGTGTGGCAAAAAACATGTTATAACTATGATGATTATAATGAACCAATATAGTCACAGTTGATATTACATAAGCGAGAATACAGTGTATAGTGAAGCATTATACATACCATTTCTGCACAGGAGTAATTACGTGATTTTATCATTGTTCTTGCAGTTTCTGTATTTTTTCACACGATTATCTGATAACACACTTTTGAAAAGTGTGGAAAATGTGTTTATAAATGATTTATTTTCAGCGATAATTAGTGGGAATAAAAATATAACATAATGAATGATTTATGCATCTTTGTTGTTAACCAAATAAACAAAAAGAAGTTCTGTAGTTGGGTATATTGTAAAAGCACAGGCAATATACAAACCGATAAATTCAAGTCTTACGACAGATCTGAACATCTGATCTGTTTCAACCAATTTTATTGATTTCCTGCACAAAAAGCAATTTAGTCTTTCACAGTGTGTGCAACATCCGTTTACCGGTTTAGTAATGGTGAAAGACTTTGGCAGGACATGGATGGACGCATTTTGGAAAATTTTAGCATAAATAGTAGAACTTGTGTTGCTCTATGAGTGGCCATAGACAAGATCTGCCTCCCGGAATAAAGGAAAAAAAAAACTATCCTTGTTTAGATTGTGTGTCCACCGTCACTATGGACACCAATCACTGTGGCGCTGCTGCACATTTTCTGTTGTGCACTTTCTTTAGGCCCAGCGGAAACTTTTCCTACTGTAAAAGGGCCAGTTGGTTTTCTTGGCATCCAGGGCAAATATTTCCAGACCTCCCCTGTTGTTGCCCATTAATGGTCTGTTAATTGGCTACTACCAGCCCAGTCAGGACAGAAAGCAGAATGGATCTATCTCCTATATGATGGCTTTAGATTTCACTTAAGCCCAAGTACAAATTCCCTCAGTGTATGCAAACTAGTTAACTGTTAAGTTAACAGTACATTGCCCTCAGTGTGCACCAGCTAGTCAGCTGCTTAAAGCTAGTCAACTGTTAATCCACTCTAATTGGCTTAACAACATGCTTTGTGTTAAGACTGGGAAAGTGTCAGACACTAATGCACCTTATAGGGGGCACTGCTCATAGAATTTAATACCCGGTGACATCATATATGAGTTCCAGTCCAGCTCCTGCCCTGGATTACACACTGGTAAGCAGATCTCAGTAAATTAGAGATTTGGCACTCACCTCTGTGTCTGCAGGATTATTTCATCTGCCACCTCTTTTTAACCTGTATTGGTTAATATTGAGCTCAGTGCTCAGCAAGAAATGGTTGCTCTATATCTCTATCACAAAGGAAATATATCTACAAGTGTAGACATTTTCTAATGTAGGAAAATGTATGCAAGTGATAAAAAACACTTCCAACACTTGGACTTGGTAAGAGCTCATTACCACTTGCAAGGTTGCCTGACTAAACATTGTTTCATAACTGCAAACTGTGCTCCCAACACTTGCAAAAAAAAAAGTGCATATGCTCTCTATGGCCTACATCTGTACTTCTAGTTAAAAATCAGCTTGCACATATTAGAGATGTGTAAATTGATTGGTGATCCATTGGTCTGACACAACCCGACTGTTGCTGTCATTAAGATATTCTTAACGACTGGTTTTGTACAACTGAACCTAAAAGTGATATTTGTTTTTCTTTTCATTACAGGCAGTCTTCCTGTTATGCTCATAGACATGCATGCCTGCCAATTGATTATGAGGGAGACCAACGTTACTTGCTGTAATTTATCATTTATATTATCCTATGTACCACAAGTGGTGAGTACACCCAAAGGTGGGCAACAATACCAAAAGATCCAAGGTAAATGAAAATCAAGTCAGGAACTATGAGAGATGCCACCATGGGAGCACAAAGAGACACAAAATGTCTGCAGGTATCTCAGCACACCAGACTCCATACAAGTGAAATGACCCTTAAAACAATGAACCCTTCAATGACCAGACTGGCTGATCTTCTGACACCTGCATTAAGCTGACAGTAAAAAGCCATGGCTTTGGAGATAACACTGATAGTCAGTCACTCTTACAAAGAGTATAAGTGAGATGCACTTCAAGTAAATGGGCACATACTGTATATAACAAAACCGTTCAATGAGTCCTACAGTTTGCCTCTACACTACTATAGTGTCAAAAGATGACCTTAAAATAGGGGTCATGGAGGTATATGTGAGATATTAGAACAATTCTATGAAAGCTTGAGAACTACTTCTCACAATGCAGAAAGTGTTTAAAAATATTCTACCATTCTGTATCGTTGGCAGTTGTCTGCTTTTTTAGCACACTACACCATAGCCACACAAACAACTCTGATATTTGATGTAATAATGTTCTTGTTTAACACAAGAAAAAGCCTTCACCTCTACCCCACTAAGTTAACTTCACTATATAAGAGTATATATCCAACACCCTTTATCCTGCATGCAAAGGTCTGACTTCTGCTCTTGTATAAAGTTTTTATTTATGCCTTTAGTCTTCCATTACCAAGACTCCTATACTCCTTATTTATGGAACTCTCTATGGAACTTTTCTCAGCTAGAGGTAACATAGCCCTGTTTAAGTACCAATTTGCAGTCCTACATAGGGCTGAGGTGTCTCTCCCCATCCCATGTGACTGCTCTAGGTGCCTGAGCAGACACCACCAAGCATGACTTTCCTTTGAATGGGTCTCTGAAAAATAGTAGTGCTACAAAACTTAATAATAGTTGTACTGTAATGAAGGTATCAATAAAAGTGAAACTCATATACTCAAGCCAATACTTGTGCGCCATTTGAATCATTCCAATCATACGCTACAACTGCTTCTTAGCAATAATAAAAGGTTGCTAATGAGCAGATAATTAAAAACCTTTAGTGTAAACATAACATCACATTATCAGGATACAGTTGCCAAACAGGGTGAGAATGATGAAATAAATGGACGACCACATCCCAGAACGAACTCCACCCTGTGAGCGGATTCCATTGTACATCACCTCGTTCCAATCCTCTCCTGTTAGGATCTAAAAAACATTTAATAAAACAACCGGGATATTTTACATAACAAGCTAGAACAACTCAACAGCTTCTAACTGACCACATCTGACAATTCCACAAAGATTATGACTGGTTTCTATAAGCAAGAAGAAAAGTTCGTCTTAGTACACTTTACATTGTACTGTACAATAGCACATTGCTATGGGTGCTATGATAAAAAGCATCTAAAGTAAATGATCTTGTTGCCCATTGCAGTGAGATTGCTGGTTTCATTCTACAAGCAGAGCATTAGAACCATTTAGGCAGACTTCTGGTTGCTCAAAGCCATGACCCCAGCTTTTCTTTCGAACACTTCTAATGTAAGAGAGAGTTCTCTCTTCAAGCCTTTACTGACTCTATTTACAAAATCGGAGAGTGTGTTTGAGTATTAATTGGTTTAATCATTTGCTATAGGCAAAACGTACCTGAAAAACTGTCATGATCGCTGCTGGAAAGGTGTCAAAATTTGCAGAAGGCGTGCCATCATTAAAATTAAATCTGTAAAATATAACAAAATTTTTTCAAATTCCAGAAAATCTATCCAGGTCTGTCTTGTGAAACAGACAGATTGGGCCAGTGTGCAACCAATCATTTGTTAACTAATACACAAAGAAACAAAAGTATTTATTGGTATACCTGTGCAGTTGCATAGTGCCTAAGGGTGTGTAAGTGGGTGTAAGATGATTGCATGTTAAGCAAAATATACAGCTAAGTCTGGATCATAAAATCTCTAACTTGTAACTATGATCTACTGGTAATGAAATGTACCAGGTACTTTTTTTTTATTCCATGAAATGTGTTGCATATAAAACATAATTTTATTTTAATAAATTCTATATATTTTAATGGCCAGATTCTGGCCAACCTACTTTCTCCCCACCAGTTCAAGGTAGCGTTCTTCCTGGGCACTTCTGCTTATTGTTTTTCTTGGATTCTTTTCCCTTGCTACTTTTTACACCATATCAGTCATAGGACCGTTGAAACATTGAGAGCAACCTATCTACTGAATCAAAAGTTTGTGTAAAGACGGACATTTTCACCACACATTCCCAGGTTACAGAAACCTTTGCGTCTCTTGCAACCACAACATAATGCAGAATACAGTATCTTTGCTCATCAACCTAAACCAACACTGGACTCCAAAACAACTACACCATAAATAATCTCTCTCACTTTACTGGACCCCCCTCCCCCACCACTTTCTTTCCTCTCTGTGTTTTGCCATATACCATAGGTCTGTAAAATAGACAAAGTTGCCGGCGGATTTCCCAACACTTTTGTGCACTTCATCATGTTAATGCCTATCAGTATTTTTACTGGTGATATCTCTGGAGTTAAGTGGATCATTCAGTACAAGCTCAATGTTCCAATGGGAGATTCCTGGCTGTTTTGCTTGCCTTTTTAATATCTCGATTATGGTATTTCTTAATGATTGCCATCGACAATCAAACATGCCTCTGTCCTTAAGTAAACCGTCATCTCATCAGCTTCCAATACTAACCCAACACAATATTTATTTTAAGCTAATAATCCATATCACAGAGTCATATAGGGAAAATTGTCAATTTGAAGAAGCTTTCTTTAAAGACGATTCTTCTTCATTCCTTCTAGATTAAGGAAGGTATAATATTCTCCTGCTGACCCCAAGTAAAGGCTGATGTTCAACTTCATTCCAATAAAAAAAGAGACCTTGTCACTAGTAATAACAATTAAGACAGAAGCAGCCTGTAAGAGAAGATTAATAATACTTACTGTACCTTTCCAGTGGGCAGCAACTCCAGTCTCACTAGGTCCTGCAGATCTACAGATGTTGCTGGTATCACATGTTCCAGATGTGTTTGATGTCTGGTCCCCCACTGCACACTGTGATTCCACCCACTAGCCACTACGTCACTACAACATCTTTGAATTATAGAATCAATGTACTGAAGCCAAGATCCAGAAATACAGCCAAGGAACTAGTTACCTCAGAGAGGTCAGCAATGGCAGCCTACATATTTCTCTCTTGGCAGGTGTTAAGGCAATATTCATATAGGATGCATCGAGAAGAAAGGCTTACAGGTGATAGGTGTCATTTTTCTAAGCACTAACTTGACCCAAGTTTTTTACCTGTACTACTTTAAAAAAAAAGTTGGACAATATAATGTAATACACCCTAATGTGTACAGATGTGCTTTTACTTCATGTGTATAATCAGGTTTTATTCAGGCTTGCATCCATTTGTAGAACTCTAATGAAAGCCTAGAAAATGATACCTCTGTGTCTTGATAAGCTAGAAAATATCTTACTGGAATTGCATACATCATTTTGTCTTCTCATCAAAAATGCAGCCAGCATATTCAAGTCATCATAAGCATTTGGTGTGATTTTCCAACTCTCGGGCTATGTACAATTAAGCTTATTGTTGTTCTGTAAAACACTCTCCTATCTATATTCATTGTGGCTTTTTTCCTCCAGAGTGTATAAACCATTACTTCTCATGTCTCCTTAGATTAGGGTGCTTTATCATCCCCATAGTGGTGGTAAGCAATGTTTACTATATTCTAACACTTGCTGAATAGGATGTGATCAATATTACACTAATTTCAGTAAATTAGAGCTCCTGTCAATCACCAGAATATGGTGAACGAGATAAGGTCTATATGTTATGGCTGATCTTGCTGTTGTGATTGTTAATAGTGATTAAATGTTAACTCTCTCACTGGGCCAGGTAGTATTTGTTATTATTATCAATTCAGAAGATGCTTTAGAGAGTATATTGAATTATTTTTATCAGTTTCTGTAACAGCACTTGAATCTTTCTGGCACAGCCATATAATAACACACACATTCTAGAGTCAGTTTAAAGACTCAAGAATACAGCATTTTATGAGACTATCTGAGACCCGCTGCAATAGGCTGTTCTGCCCAGGGTAGTGCAAAATATCTGAAAAGGAACCATTCAGATGCTTTGCACTGTGCTCAGCAAAACAGTCAATTAGGACTGAAGATATATACTACACCTTACAATAAAGGATTGTAAGTCTGAAGATTTTAGTCTGCAAATCAGATTAATCATGCACCTTCAAAGCATTTAACAATCTTTAAACAGCTATATTCAAATCCTCCAGTTCAGCGAGAGTGTGGGAGTGTTAAGAACAGATTTTAATGGGTGTGCCTGTTGCAGATTAAAACAATCTTATAGCAGGTTTCAGAAAGATTTGATCAAGCATGCTTGAAGCTTGCTAAAAGTTTGTAGAAGCCACTGCTGCCCCTCTCTTTCACAGTCTGAATCCTGCATACAGAAAGGTATTTAAAGAATAAGGCCCCTTTTACAGGGGCTGATCAGGAAGGGGTGCATGGATCCCCTCCTGATCAAAGCAGTGCAGATTGGATGTCAAGGCTGGGGCATCCACGTCTGTCCAGTTTTTTTCCCCTGAGCACTGTTCCTGACTTCTTGTTTTAGGGTGACTCCTTTCTCAAGCAGAGTGCTATGCAGTCACCCTTGTGTGTGTTAGTAACCTGTGTGTGTCTCCACAAACACACAGACACAGCACATCAAGCTACTTCCCTCCCTCTGCCCCCCTCTAATGATCTTGTACTGGACAGGAAGTTCAGGGGAGGGAAGCTGAGAGACTTGGAAGCAGCTGTTCAGAAATATGATGACTAATGTGTGGGCAAAAGTGTAAAGCAATGCTTTGCTGGGCAATGCATGTTTGTTAGATCTGGATTCATTATTGAAAAAAGTTTGAGAGTTTTATACTACTTTAAGTGTGCATTTCTTAAGTGTGCCACAGTTAGTAAGAACACTAAAGCACTAAAGCTGAGATTGCACAGAAATTGAACACTCCTAAAATCCAGCTTTCACTCTTCTAAATTTATAAAATATGTTTCGCTTTAAAATATGATGAAATATGGCTAATTTTTGAAGTACACACACACACACACACACACACACACACACACACACACACACAAACATATATACTGTATATATACTTTTCCGAAAAAGCAAATTCCCTGGCAAGACATATAACCGACCACAGCACAGGCTAATACCAAAGTGGGATTAATGCATTACTATAAGTGCTCTGTCAGAGTGTTTGTACTTATTCAGTGATGTCTGTTGAGATGTAGGAAGAATGCAAAGAGACAGCAATTATATAATACTAGACATAAAAATAAAATAGTAAACACTGATGTACCTGCCACCATAGAGCTGCATTCCCAGAAGAGCAAACACAACAATAAAGAGAAAAAGAAGGAACAGCAGACTGATAATTGACTTCATGGAATTCATCAAGGATACGACAAGGTTCCTCAGTGAGGCCCAGTATCTAAAAAACATAGATAACATGGACTGGTTACATAAACACAGATAGCCTTGATATGTGATGACACTGTAAGCAATTGGTGGAAATGCGTCTGACAAGTTATATGGAGGATGATAACACTTGCTCTTACTTTGTTATTTTAAAAATTCTTAGAAGACGCAGTGCTCTAAGGACGCTAATTCCAAAAGATGTCCCAGGTCTAAATATAGCCCAAATGACTTCAAATATACTTCCAATTGTCACCTAACAAAGAGAAATATTTTTGTTAGATTTACTGAATAAAAACATGACCTACTTTTTTTAAGAGCCATACAATATTTTTCAACGCAAAGATACAGTAATTGCCGCAGCATCTTATCAAAAAATACAAAGTAGGCCAAACTGTAATTTATCTGGATGCAATTTATTAAAAGGTCAGTCCACCCAAAACTAGTAATTACAATTTTTTTTATTAGATGATTGAGAGTTAAACCACTTGACTGTTTCTTGCTTCTATCGGGGACACGTTGGATTGATCTCTGTGCTGGAGTTTGCAGGTCTCCACATCTGTTGTGGTCATTATGACAAGCTTCCACTCCCCCTAGTTCTTTTATTAATTTTATGTTATGGAGCATGCAACAGCAGAACATGGAACAAGCAAAGGTGATCGTGAACACCTAAAACTCCCAAATGGACAGGAGGCATCAGTAATTATAGCAGGGGGAACTTGCTGCTGTAGTATCCAAAACACTCAGGCCACTGAGATCCACTTGTAAAGATTGCTTTTTTTCCCTACTCTGATATCAGAAGAATAATGTTCAGTAGCCACTAATGGTGTTATTGTGACTACTAGTGTGGGATTATGTGGTATTCTTCTAGTTCCTTTGCACTTTCACCAACACTACTATACTATAAATTATATGGGCAAATGTTTGTGAACATTCCAGTTCATCCCACAGGTGTTCAGTAGGGTTGACACAAAGTCCTCCAAACCAAAAGGTGTCAAACCATGTCTTTGACTCTCACTTTAGGGAGGTTTTTCTCTCATGTTGACTTGTCAGGGCAGGGAGTAAAGAATGTTTTGACTAAAGATATACAGTATTAAGGTAAAGCTGTTGTGCATTTTCAGCAATTACAAGCTATTCGTGTTATATTTACCTGAAAGCAACTGTAAATATATATATATATATATATTTTTGCTTTTCCCACATTTGGATGATTGTATCTCACTCAGTTGGCTATGTGCATATCAGGGAGTGTGACCATAATCCCTGCTAAAAGACTGCTGATGCAAGATCAAGGTCACATATAGAGACTATTGTTTTCAATCAGCTTGACACACCCTGCATTTCTAACAAGTCTACCTGACTGCTCTTATGTACATATATCATTACAAATTACACACTTTTTTGTAAACAATAACACACATATGAGATTCTTTACAATAAGATGACTGCATCTTGGAAAAAGACGCAACAGCTGTGTTCCCTAAGCAAATAATGTGATGTTATCTTTCATTTCATAACCTTCTCAACAAATATGCAGAGCCTTTAAACATGTGCATTTGTGCATAGGTCTATAGCTTTCTTTCACTTTGTTTCACCAGTCAGGCACTGAAGAATTCAGAAGACTATATCCTTTCTCACCCCACAGTCAAAACAGTTGAAGGAGGAGTGAAAGTAGAGTCTTGGACCCATCCCATACATCTTGAAAAACATCTCCACCATAAATAACCCAAGAAACAAAAATTCTGCATAGTCTGGAAAACAGCAAAGAAAACAAACATTTCATTAAATATAACTAAAATGCAATAATACAGTGTCAATGCACTTATTATTATTATTATTATTCAAAATGTATTTAGTGCCAACAGGTTATGCAGCGCTTTACATAAATATATAGAGACTGTACAGTTATAATAAAATTCAATACAGGAGTGTTAGGAGGGCCCTGCTCATGGAGAAGTCCTGGAGGCAAGCATGGGAGGAGGTGACCAAGGGGCTGTAGAGTAAAACGTCTTGGGAGAAGCAGAGGAGATGGTTTGGTGATATTTTAAGATGGGGTCGGTGATGTAGCCTGGGGCAGAGGTGTGGATGGCTTTGTATGTTATTGCTAGTATTTTACATTTTATTTGTTGGGTGATTGGGAGCCAGTGGAGTGATTGACAGAGAGGGATGGCAGACCAGTATTAAGGTAGGCAAACGAGGATGGAGTTGCAAAAGTCGAAGTGAGAGGTAGCAAGGGAGTGAAGTAGAAGCTTTGTGGTGTGTCATTGGTTAAAAAATTGCTAATTCTTGAAATATTGCGGAAGTTAAGGCAACAGTAATTGAATGTGGGGCCAAAAGGAGAGGTCAAAATCCATGATTACACCATGTGCCCTGACCTGAGGAAAGGGGTTGATCGATGTAATGTTAATCACCATGGAAAATTTGGGGGTGGGGATGGGGCAAGGGGATATTATGAGCTTAGTTTGGGCCGAATGAATTTGAGGAAGTGGTGTGACATACATGTTAATATGTCAGTGAATCAATTAGTGAAGCATGAGGAGAGAGAAGGGTGAGCTGAGGAAGTAAAACATAGATTTGGGTGTCATCAACCTAGAGACGATATTGGAAGTTGTGGGAGGTTATCAACATAAAGGAGTAGGAATGTTCACTCATATAATAAATAAACGGAGACGATGTTCACTTTAAATTCCCAATCATGTTTAAGGCAAAGTAAATAGAAAAAGCAATATTGCCTATGTACTCGTCAAATACCAGGTCATGTTTGAGTAAAAGGAAAACCAGAACATTTGCATGAACACAGTGGACACAGAATTATACTTTACAGTACACATGGGAAGCACAGTGACTCAGTGGTTAGCACTACTGCTTTGCAGAACTGAGGTTTGAATACAGGTTAGGCCAGGACACTATCTGTATAACACTACTGCCTCAGCTTTGCTAGTTCCACCTTCCTTGTACTCCTTGTACTGTAACTCCAACACACCTACCAATATTTTTTACTCCCAATAAACCTCCTTGGTTACTTACCTTTAACAGAGATGGCTATTAGGGAAATAGTGATGAGTCTGCAATGTAAAATTGTGGTTACAGACACCAGATGCCATAATAGATTGGCTCATACAGTAGTTGAATTAGAAGTGGTTTTTATAGCATTGCATATATGCAATATAGGGAAGGAGGAATACCAAGACCAAGGCAAGGGATCCAGAGGCAATGAAGTGCCAGGTTAACACATTTTACCTTGAAAAGGTTAAATATGCTAAAAAGAAAAATAATTTGAAGGTAATAACAGTGCAGAAAACAATTGCTTCTGGTTAGTGAGACACTGGAAACAGGAGATTAATAAATGTTAGTCCCGTGCTTCACAAGCCAAGACATATTTGTAGCCATACAATACAGTTCTTATAAGTAAAACCTGTACTAACGCTAGCTAGCTTACTATAGTGCTACCTATTTTAACATTAAAAAAACAGTAAAATTCTGTAAAAAGTTAAATAGAACCCCATCTAATTTTTTTTCTAGTTTTAGGTACAGTTGGAAAAGTTTAAAATCTCTGTCAGGCTGTGACCCTGTTGGGGGAGATTCATTCCTACATTTTATCGTGGTACTCCAACCGAAATAGCAGGAAAAGGTCACCCAAAAAAGGGCATTTTGCCTAATTTGGGGGAAAATATTCCCATAGCTTTTTTATGACACAGAAAGTGAGGGAAAATCTTTCCTGCAGGCACACAGACAGCAATAAAAAAACCTGACAGAGGTGCCAACCATTCCCCATGCTGTCCAGGACCAGAAAAAAAGTTATGGCTGAAGTTCCTGTTTACGAGCACACTTACACAGGATATGTGAGAGCCAGTGAACCTGTTTATGATGAACAATGGCCACACAGGCAGTGTTTAATGCTACTACTCCCAAAACCAGCCAATAAAAGACCTGGGATTTGATCATGTGTCGTACAGATATACGTAATAATCTTTCTTTGTGGCGAAAATAAGATGCACCATCCATTTTGTTGCTCTTGATACTGGCTCTGGCAAGGGGAGTGCCTGCAATGGACAGAAAATAGCTTAGTTAATTGATATATTAAAGTGCATACATGTACTGATCATAATGCTGAAAGAGTCAATAAGAACAGTTTCTATAGTGAATATTTTTATATTTCCCCCACAATACAAGATTTCTCCATTGTAGACCCTACTCTCAGAAATACACAAATACATTGCATCACAATGCATTAAAGCATGTCACTTAGAGAAGCCCCTTAAATGTAAAAAAAAATAAAAGAGGGGCAACTCACCGACAGAGGATATATCGACACAGTGGTCCTCATTCGTGTCCCGGTTCATGGCTTCTGTTCTACTCCTTTTAATTGTTGCTCTTCTGAGAACTGTAAGTACAGAACACAAGGAATAAGTCACCCTGTTCTGTCCAGAAACATATTTATAAATGAACATTATATGCAGCATTGTTAAGTGCTTTACAGGGCTGAATAAATAACAACCTGCAATGCAATCACTCATCTTACCTTCTAAAGCTGAGGTCCCAGAATTTTTATTTTCTTCTGCCAGCATCACTTCCTCTGAAAAACAAAGCGCAAATACATTGAAGTGTAAAGAACTTACACAAAAAAACTTTAGTTCGGCACAAAATGACTGAATAAGTATTAAAGGATGCAAATTAGATTATCCAATCTTTAAAGGGTTTACATGTTATTTCCATTTTAGATAGGGTAGGGAATAGTTTCTATTTCTGTTCTGGTGACTCAACATTTTGGATTATCTATCATTTTCAGTCAATGGTCACCAAGACAAAGAGAGATAGTAAGTCATCCTAGTGAGCAAAAAGATAAATCTTAATGGGTTCCTAAACCTGAAAAAAAATTGATTTATAGTCAAATTCCAAACAAAACTTTAAACCTTTCCTGAGAGAAATATGGAGGCAGCCATTAATGGTATCCCTCTAAACAAATGTTTTGCCTGACAGTTGAGCTGACGCTCTAGTTTTAGTAATTTCTGAGTCACTAACTTGAAGCAATTATGTAGATATGCTGCAAAGGAATTCCACTGACATAGCAATTTACTTTGTGAAAACATACAAATACAGCCCATTTACCTGTAAACTGACACATATAATCTTCCCAAGCTGTGCACAGGGTCATACTGACCATAAGACACTCATGGAACAGAGCTTAGGGCAGCACTGAGAAATCAAATTTATTTTAAAACATTTTTTTATTTTACATCTTTTCTTTTTTTCTCATTTTTATGGCTACATCTGCATATTTGTGGTGAAATCTAGCAAGAACATGCAACACAGAAGGGGCACTCAGAACACTGCTTGGGATTCTGGGGCAGCAGAGGCAGTGTTGTTAGCTCACAACATGATGTTAGAAGCTCGCTTGATTTTTGGCAGATCAACAGGTATATTTCTGTACCTGTAGCATTTTTTAAAGAGATAAAACATAAGCAAATGTGCACATATTGTGGAGGCTTACTGGATTGTTTTATGCTTTGACATACACTTTTAGTGTTAAATATTGGACAGTTATTTCAGTGTCTATAAAGATATAAAAAACTTTACCATACTAGATATAGAAATAAATGGCTTATTTAGCTCTTCAAATATAGTAACATGAGTTGCAGGGTTAATGGTTCTTTAACATTTTCTCTTGTTCAAATGATTTCATGAGAACCTGAAGATGAAATGAGTTGTGAAGAGCCATTGTCATTACTAAGAAGGCTTAAGTGCGGAGATATTCACTCACCAGCTTTATCTATCCATGCTCGATAGCCATTCAGTTCCCTTTCAATCTGCTGCTGCCTGCGCAACTTCATGAAGGCCCTCCTGTTCTCCACACGCTCCCTCTCTTTGGCAAATTCACTGCAAACAGAGGTGTTAATTAATACTGAATAAATTAAGCATACATCCTCTGTTCTGGGGCAGAAAAGTGGAAAAAATAAATGTCACACGATAACATGGGTTCTCTGAGGTAAACAGGCTACAGTTAAATTAAATCAAGCAGATGGCAGCCATATTTGAAGCACTAATTAAAGTGGAACTTCAGGAACATAATACACAGTTCAACTACTGGAACCCACCACTTATCTCAGTATAGCCAGGCAGATGAATCCCTATTTATGATTTCCTCTTAACTTTCTGCATCATCACACTGATGATTCATTGTCCAATGGGCATACACGTGGTACAGGAAGCTGTAAAGATAACTCTGAAAATTGTGGAGTCTTCTCCAGACTGAAGAAGTGTATCAATCACAAGACCAGCTAGAGAAAATAGTAGGGTTGCACAGATACCAAGTACAGTACTCGGTACAAGTACAAGTACATGTACCGATACTTTTGAGCTCCAAGACTAGACTAGAGAAAAATTCAAAAATTAGAAGGCAGCTGTCATTTGTAAGGAGCACACGGAGCTTCTGGGATTTTTACATCTCTGCTTTAATGTATGATTTTGTTTTTATAAATATAAATAAAGGGATGCACAGATACCAGTTTTGCGAGTACGAGTACTGGTACTTTGCCGAGTACTTACAAGTACGAGTACTGATACATTTTTGTTCATTGTCATGTGACAGTTTTTCTAAATCAATACAGGCTAATGATTTCAGGACAGTGGTGGAGTTCCAGAGCCAGGTCCCAGATGCAACCGCTGCAACCCTGGTAGTTCTCATGAAAAGGCCAAGTATCTGCACTGGTACTCGAAAAGTATCTGTGCATCCCTAGAAAATAGCAAATCCATTGTTTCAACAACAATGGGTATGCAGTTTTCAACCCATGTTCCATCACTGTTTCTGATTCTGATTCACATTAAAGTAATCTATTTTTTAAGAATTACAAACACGACATGGATGCCTCTGCAAAGATCAAAGCCCCCCCAACCAACAGACACTAGCTACATCAATGTTAGGGGTGTCCACACACTTTGACTTATCTGATTCCCACTCCCACAGGCTCCAATACTGGTCCCTGCATCCTCTTCCCCCCTTCGCTCCGGGAGTCGAAGGCCTGCTGATGTCATTACATGCAATGCAGTGCCATAGCCCCCATTATATGTGAGGACACTGATTGACAATCTACGAGTCAGGGGAGTAGGGGAGTAGGGGAGTAGGGGAGAGAGGAGAGGAGAGTGAGCGCAGACTGCTGGGGAGCGGAGATCAGGTAAGTAGAAGTCCTTTACAACATAGCCCTAGACATAAACGAGCAGTTAAAGTTTGCAGTGTGGGGGTCGTTTTTTTTTAAACCAGAGATTGGATTTAACCTAGAAAAAAGCCTGCTTTTGTTTTAGTGACAATACTCTGTAAATAACTAAAGCAACAATGTGTCCAAATGAAATGCTTAATAAATGTGTGGAAAGGTCACAAGGTATACAAGTAGAGATGAGCAGAGTGATTTCAGTAATGTATCTTTAATTAGAGGGTGTGTTCTTGGCAGGGTGTTTTTAGTGTAGTTTAGTTAATCTAATTTAGCATTTTTAGTGTTTTTCCTTTATGTTTGCATATTTGATTATTTGTTTACTGTACCTCTCATTTTTTTTTTATTTCACAGTTATGTTAGTATGGACAATGTAATGTGGCCAGAGGACAGCAAAATATCCAAGCATCTAGCATTTTCATAAACAAAGACAGGCCCTGTATTTGTCTTCCAACAGGTCTATTTTAATCAAAGTTAGTATTCAGGGGTGTCCCTACACTTTTTGTTGTGAAGCAGCAGGGGGTGGCCATTCATGCACGCTACTGGG